TTGGCCTCTGCCTGGGCCCTGGCTCTTTGGTTTTTGTCGCCATTTTGTCCTTGTTGTTTGCAGAGTCTACATTTCGGCTCTTTCGGCAAGCGGCGGCTTTTTGTTGTCATCCGTTATTGGCCTTGTTGGTCCTTTTGGGGTCCCGGGGGGGGGGTTTTCCTCCCGGATGAGGCGTGTCTGCTTGCCCGGGTGGGTTCTTTCCTGGCTCGCCGGGTTTGGGTTCCTAGTTCCCTGGCGGACGTTCCTTCTGGTTCTTTGTCAGCCTTGGTTTCGGTCACTGCTTGCTCGGTGTCCGAACCCAGGGGTTTTTCCCCGGCTCCGCCTCTTCTAATGATCGGTCTGGTCCGTATTGGGACTGGTTCGGTTTTCTTCTTCAGTCTTCCAGTCTGGTAATTTTACCTCGAGTCTCTCACCATCTTTGGTGATCAGGTGGCTTCATTGATGGCGCACCACCTGCGTGTTTCGTCTCGGCGGTGGTATGGAGGTTTTGCTGGCGGTCCTTCCTTTTCTTTTTGTTTCTTCGTAGGTATAAAGCAGTTTTTGTTGGCATGATCTTGTCCTTCTCTCGTGGGGGTTTGGAACTATCAGCTTGACGCATACTGTCACCTTGGCTCGTGCAGTGCTGGTGGAGCCGCTAAGGTTTGCTTTCCGTTTTTTATACTGTCTCCACTCGATCATCCGGACTATATGGGAAGGACCCCCAGCCGGATTATCACATTTTTCGGATAATGGTACTTTTTCACCTACGAGTCCAAAAGTGACCATTTCCAACTATTTTTATACTACAAACAACATAATTTGAATTGCCTTGCCACATACAATTATTAAATACAGTATTCAACTAGAAACCTCAACTTACCTTGTTGGTGTTCGTCTTCTTGATTGATGCCACACATCTTGAAGTTAAAAATTCTTAACAATTTACGTAACCTATACTAACACAACACTAAAATTAACACTTAAAATTACTGTACAGTTCATTAAGCTAAGTTAGTTTTGACTGCCAGCTGCTGAAGCCTCACTGGTTGAGGGCATTTGGGTTGCCTGTGAGGCCTCACTTGTTGAAGGTGCTTGCTTGCACCTCACTTGTTGAAGCGCTTGCATGCCCTCACTTGTTGAAGGCGCTTGGCTTGCCTGTGACGCCTCACTTGTTAAAGGCGCTTGCTTGCGCCTCACTTGTTGAAAGCGCTTGGCTTGCCTGTGGCGCCTCACTTGTTGAAAGCGCTTGGCTTGCCTATAATGCCTCACTTGTTGAAGGAGCTTGGCTTGCCTGTGGCGCCTCACTTGTTGAAGGCGCTTGGCTGCCTGTGACGCCTCACTGTTTGAACAACACGTAACTTGTCTTTAATTGCTAGGACAATCTTCTTCCTCTTAACACTTCCAGAACGATTGATGCTGCTACCAGACATATTCTTGGCCAAAAATGTTCAAAATTACTATGAAAATTAAGAAAATTATTTAAAAAAATATTTCACTAATGGCGCAACACTGTGAGGCCGCACTGGTTGAGGCGTATAACTGTGACTTGTCTTTAATTGTTAGGACAACTTTCTTCCTCTTAACACCTCCAGAACGATTGATGCTGCTACCAGACATAGTCTTGGCCAAAAATGTTCAAAGTTACTATGAAAATAAAAAAGTTATTTAAAAAAATATTTCACTAATGGCGCAGCACTGTGTATAACACGAGGGACGGACGCACATGGGTTGACCAGTGCTGGACAGGTCCACTTGGGGCAGCCATAGCGCGTTATGTAGGCCGCCAGGAGGAAAAAAATTCACAATATTTTTTAAGGAAACTTCAGCCTGTGCACAATGCTTTTAGGAAACTTATTTATTTGTTATTACATAATTACTAGTAGTTATTTTATTTGTTTTTGGCTATGATTAATTGTTCTAAAATTAATGGTAATTCCTGTACCCAGGTAGTCCCTCCTGACGCACCCCTCCCACCCTCCCAACACTACCCACCCACCCCACCCCCACCTACACCATGCGCCTTGAGTCTCGGGCAGACGGGATTAATACCGTATGGCCTGCCTCATGTTTTCATATACAGACAAAGGCACGATTATCTGGGGGACTGACCGGATAGTGTAATTTCTGCAGAAAACCTGCTTTAATCCGGTCCCTGTGGCTATTTTGGCCGGATATTGTGATAACTTTATCCGTTCACGAATTTGGCCGTATAAGGGCGTTTTTCGGATGTTCGAATCCCGGATAATCGCGGGGTTACAGTATTCCTTCTGCACTGTTGCGCAGGCTGTCTCAGGCGTTGTTTGCCTCCAGCCTGCTCATGCTCTGACTGCGCCGTCCAGGTCTTTGGCCGGTTTGCTCTCGTGTCTATTTTCACCTCGGTTTGTTGTGGCCCCTTCGGTTCAGGTTTGTTTTTTCGAAGTTCTTTCTTGTTCGTTTGCAGCCATCTCCTTTTTTTCTGGCGAGGAATGAGTCTGCTGCTTTCCGGAGGGGTCCTTGGGTTGTTGATGCTTGGTTGGTCAGACCAGGGGTGCATCATATGTTGTGTCTGGTTGCGGCCCTCCGCCATTATATGTGGGCCACGGCTTCTGTGTCCGGAGACACGCTTTGGGTTGATCTGGTTTCCCTTCTTCCCTGTTCACGGGTACAGGTCTCTCAGATCATTCGCAGGGTTATTGAGTCTAGCCAGCCTGTGGTCTATTCCCCGTGCCCATGACATTCATAAGTTTGCTGCTCTTGCTGCCGTCTTTGGTAACATGTCCTGGGCTGACATTCGGCACAGGGTTTTTAGGGGTCGAACAGGGCCCTTGCTGCACACTACCTCGTTAACATCCCTGGGCCTAGTTGGGCCTGTGTCGCTTTGGGTCGGCAGCTGCAGGCTGTCTCGCCTTCGAGTTGAGATGTGAAGCACCAACCGCCTCCCGGTTAAGTCCCCTTTTGTCTTTTTAGTCTTTGGTGAAGTAGCTCTGGGAAGTCGTAGGGGCTCCACCCAGAAAACCAGCGTTAAATGTAATGAAACACCATTTTCTGGGTGAGTCCCGGAGGCTCCCCGGCAACCCTCCCTCCCTCCGGTCGGCAGTTTTCGCGTAGTTTGATGTCCAGCCTCAGAACTGCAGGGTGGATTGCCGGCACAGGGGTCTGGGGCTCCCCCTTCCTGCGCAGACAGCGGCGTGGTGACTTATGATGTCATGTTTGTTTGCTCGTTTTCATTTGGGGAGTTCTGTCCACTCGTCTGTTTATTTTCATCGTTTTTAACCAGATTAGGGGTTTGTTTTGGGGCGCTTACCTTTCTGGGTGCTTGTCCCAGTCAATGGCAGATATAGAATGCTCCAAAATCACATGTGCATTTCTATAGGCCATTGTTCCTCATGCCTCTCTGAGAGGGCCAGGTTCTGGCTCGTGGTCCCCGGTAGACCTAGAACTCCACCCACATCGAGTGATGCCAAAGTTAGGGATATCCATATCAGCCATGGATAGCTCAGGGGAGCCTCCGGGACTCACCCAGAAAATGGCGTTTCATTACATTCAATGCTGGTTTTTTCTAGTACCATTCCAGTACAGTACAGTACAGTACTTAGGGTTTTGATATAAATGCTTTCTCAGGGGCTTATATTTTATTTGAATTAAATTTTATATTTGAATCCTCAAAATTAACCTTACCGTTAATAAATTTGTGTATTATGGTAAATGTTATGAGAATTGCAAAACTAATTTAATTAAGCTGAACAATACTGCTTAATTGATTTGGGTTGTATTCCAGCTTGCTGTGGCAGTGATGCAACCACGTTCCAGTAACTTATTATTCTCTGTGGTTTCTTGTCACTACAACAATTCTGTGGTTTCTTGTCACTACAACAATATTCAGAATTTTCAGCTTTGTTGCTTAACTCTTGATGTTTTTTAATTTGCTCCACCTGTGTTAGTACTGTACATTACCTTTGATGAGCTATAGTACTATTCCAAACTATAGTTTGGAGTAGTACTACTCTCTGTATTGATATACATTATTTATTATTTTATTATGTTTATAACTTTATTAGACGGACCTTAAAAACACGAAGCCGATAGATCCAATAGCTGCTGCTTCATATGGGTCAGCAGGGGCTTTCTCATATGGGCCAATAAGAGCTGCCTCATATGGGCCAGTAGGAGCTGCCTTGTATAGTCCTCCCACAGTAATGTGTTCATATGTTCTTACGGTAGACACACAGACAGACTTGGAAGGCAAGAGTGGTACAATGGACAGGGTTAGAGAACATTAGAGTAAAAGACATGTGATGATGGAGCCTCTTGGAGGAACTTTTGCTGTAGCACCTACCTTGACGTGGCACTCTCAGGAGAGTAAAGTGTTGAGCTGTAGAGGGAGAGATCAAGTTCTTACATGACTTGGGTTCAGGTAATCCTGCCTGTCATCTAATGTACTGTATTAAACCGTGTCTCAAATTGCCTGAAGCATTACAGTAGAGCAAGGCAATCTTGTGTGTTAAACACTGAACTCATTATATCATGTCCTCGTGCAGTACTATGTACTTTATCGAAACATTTGTATTGTATTTGTGCATTGTACACTCATACTGCCCCACAGCACTTAGTCACTAAATAGCATATTTCAAACTAAACGAAGGGGGGTTTTCACCCTTCGCAAGCATCTCGAGGGGCTCTTATTAAAAACGTTTGTAAGTACAGTATAATATTGTTAACCAGGATAGTTATCTGTAATTTGTGATATAGGATGGGTTTGGGAATTATATGAAACAGTGTTTTAAGTAAAAACGTGGTTAATAAATCATTATTTAAGGATATATAGCGTTGCGTAATTTTTCTAAAACTGTACATTTAACAAAATTTTAGTAAATTTTGTTGTATTTTTGTGTACAGTAGTCTTTGGTTACTGGATACTTTGACCCACTTTTTTGTATTGTTACCAATATGATTGACTGCTTTTGTTGTAACTATTTGTATTTTGAGATAATATCCGTATTACGGTAGTAAATGTTAATATTGAACGAACACTTCCTTTACAGTGCTGCAGTACGGCTTTGTCACCATCTTCGTCTCCTCCTTCCCTCTGGCTCCCCTCTTTGCCTTCCTGAATAATGTATTTGAGATGCGTCTAGATGCCAAAAAGCTGCTCACGCATTTTCGACGGCCCATATCACAGCGCGTTAAGGACATCGGCATCTGGTTCAAGATCCTGGATTCCATCGGAAAGTTGGCAGTCATAACAAACGTTAGTTCTGTGTTTTTTTTTTTTATGTTGCCTACTTTTGTCACTGCAGTATATTTTTATTTTCTGTGGGGAGCCCCTTTTGGCTTCCTGGAGCTATCGGGCTAATATGCAAATGATTAGACCAGGGCATTAGTCAGTGGAGTTCAGCCTACCGTGGACCACGAGCCAGAATGTGGCCCCTCCCCCCCCCCCCCCCTCAGAGAGGCACGGGGAGCAATGGCCCTGGGAAATCCCCCTTGTGGTTGGGGGTTTTCCTTATCTGCCATCGACTGGGGTTACATAAATCTAAAACTTTGTCTTTAAACGAAATATGCTTAAAAGAAAGACTGCTACCAATATACATACAGTATATATATATATATTTTTTGAATCTAAAGTGTGTGTACTTTGCTTCTTAAGAGTGAACTTCTTAAATTATTTTTTTTAAAGCATCAATGTTTTCTTGATCTCAGGCATTCATCATCGCCTTCACATCCAACTTCATCCCGGAGCTTGTGTATCGTCATGTGGTTTCGGATCATAACAGTCTTGAGGGCTTCCTCGACCACTCTCTCGCTTCATTTAACGTCAATGACTACCCTGAAATGTATCGGCCAAGGTTTCCAAACACAACACAAATATGCAGGTCAGTCTAGCTTTGTCCTTTTTATTTAATGTGTTGTCACAAATGGCAAGTGTTTTGTACGTTTGTGAGAGTGACAAGTGCTTCTGTGCTGTATAGTTGTGTGAGTGGCAAGGGCTCTTGTTTCATATGGTCATGTGAGTGGCAAGGGCTCTTGTTTTGTATGGTCGTGTGAGTGGCAAGGGCTCTTGTTTTGTATGGTCATGTGAGTGGCAAGGGCTCTTGTTTCGTATGGTCGTGTGAGTGGCAAGGGCTCTTGTTTCGTATGGTCGTGTGAGTGGCAAGGGCTCTTGTTTCATATGGTCGTGTGAGTGGCAAGGGCTCTTGTTTCGTATGGTCGTGTGAGTGGCAAGGGCTCTTGTTTTGTATGGTCGTGTGAGTGGCAAGGGCTCTTGTTTCGTATGGTCATGTGAGTGGCAAGGGCTCTTGTTTCGTATGGTCATGTGAGTGGCAAGGGCTCTTGTTTCGTATGGTCGTGTGAGTGGCAAGGGCTCTTGTTTCGTATGGTCGTGTGAGTGGCAAGGGCTCTTGTTTTGTATGGTCGTGTGAGTGGCAAGGGCTCTTGTTTCGTATGGTCATGTGAGTGGCAAGGGCTCTTGTTTCGTATGGTCGTGTGAGTGGCAAGGGCTCTTGTTTCGTATGGTCATGTGAGTGGCAAGGGCTCTTGTTTCATATGGTCATGTGAGTGGCAAGGGCTCTTGTTTCATATGGTCATGTGAGTGGCAAGGGCTCTTGTTTCATATGGTCATGTGAGTGGCAAGGGCTCTTGTTTCATATGGTCATGTGAGTGGCAAGGGCTCTTGTTTCATATGGTTGTGTGAGTGGCAAGGGCTCTTGTTTCATATGGTCATGTGAGTGGCAAGGGCTCTTGTTTTGTATGGTTGTGTGAGTGGCAAGGGCTCTTGTTTTGTATGGTTGTGTGAGTGGCAAGGGCTCTTGTTTCATATGGTCATGTGAGTGGCAAGGGCTCTTGTTTTGTATGGTTGTGTGAGTGGCCAGGGCTCTTGTTTTGTATGGTCATGTGAGTGGCAAGGGCTCTTGTTTTGTATGGTTGTGTGAGTGGCAAGGGCTCTTGTTTTGTATGGTCATGTGAGTGGCAAGGGCTCTTGTTTCGTATGGTCATGTGAGTGGCAAGGGCTCTTGTTTCATATGGTCGTGTGAGTGGCAAGGGCTCTTGTTTTGTATGGTCATGTGAGTGGCAAGGGCTCTTGTTTTGTATGGTCATGTGAGTGGCAAGGGCTCTTGTTTTGTATGGTCGTGTGAGTGGCAAGGGCTCTTGTTTTGTATGGTTGTGTGAGTGGCAAGGGCTCTTGTTTCATATGGTCATGTGAGTGGCAAGGGCTCTTGTTTTGTATGGTCGTGTGAGTGGCAAGGGCTCTTGTTTTGTATGGTCGTGTGAGTGGCAAGGGCTCTTGTTTCATATGGTCATGTGAGTGGCAAGGGCTCTTGTTTTGTATGGTTGTGTGAGTGGCAAGGGCTCTTGTTTTGTATGGTCGTGTGAGTGGCCAGGGCTCTTGTTTTGTATGGTCATGTGAGTGGCAAGGGCTCTTGTTTTGTATGGTCATGTGAGTGGCAAGGGCTCTTGTTTTGTATGGTCGTGTGAGTGGCAAGGGCTCTTGTTTTGTATGGTCATGTGAGTGGCAAGGGCTCTTGTTTTGTATGGTCGTGTGAGTGGCAAGGGCTCTTGTTTTGTATGGTCGTGTGAGTGGCAAGGGCTCTTGTTTCATATGGTCATGTGAGTGGCAAGGGCTCTTGTTTTGTATGGTTGTGTGAGTGGCAAGGGCTCTTGTTTTGTATGGTCGTGTGAGTGGCCAGGGCTCTTGTTTTGTATGGTTGTGTGAGTGGCAAGGGCTCTTGTTTTGTATGGTTGTGTGAGTGGCAAGGGCTCTTGTTTTGTATGGTCATGTGAGTGGCAAGGGCTCTTGTTTTGTATGGTCGTGTGAGTGGCAAGGGCTCTTGTTTTGTATGGTCATGTGAGTGGCAAGGGCTCTTGTTTCATATGGTCATGTGAGTGGCAAGGGCTCTTGTTTTGTATGGTCGTGTGAGTGGCCAGGGCTCTTGTTTTGTATGGTCGTGTGAGTGGCAAGGGCTCTTGTTTTGTATGGTCATGTGAGTGGCCAGGGCTCTTGTTTTGTATGGTCATGTGAGTGGCAAGGGCTCTTGTTTCATATGGTCATGTGAGTGGCAAGGGCTCTTGTTTCATATGGTCATGTGAGTGGCAAGGGCTCTTGTTTTGTATGGTCGTGTGAGTGGCCAGGGCTCTTGTTTTGTATGGTCATGTGAGTGGCAAGGGCTCTTGTTTTGTATGGTCATGTGAGTGGCAAGGGCTCTTGTTTCATATAGTCGTGTGAGTGGCCAGGGTTCATGTTTCATATAGTCGTGTGAGTGGCCAGGGTTCATGTTTCATATAGTCGTGTGAGTGGCCAGGGTTCATGTTTCATATAGTTGTGTGAGTGGCCAGGGTTCATGTTTCATATAGTTGTGTGAGTGGCCAGGGTTCATGTTTCATATAGTTGTGTGAGTGGCCAGGGTTCATGTTTCATATAGTTGTGTGAGTGGCCAGGGTTCATGTTTCATATAGTCGTGTGAGTGGCCAGGGTTCATGTTTCATATAGTCGTGTGAGTGGCCAGGGTTCATGTTTCATATAGTTGTGTGAGTGGCCAGGGTTCATGTTTCATATAGTCGTGTGAGTGGCCAGGGTTCATGTTTCATATAGTTGTGTGAGTGGCCAGGGTTCATGTTTCATATAGTTGTGTGAGTGGCCAGGGTTCATGTTTCATATAGTTGTGTGAGTGGCCAGGGTTCATGTTTCATATAGTCGTGTGAGTGGCCAGGGTTCATGTTTCATATAGTTGTGTGAGTGGCCAGGGTTCATGTTTCATATAGTTGTGTGAGTGGCCAGGGTTCATGTTTCATATAGTCGTGTGAGTGGCCAGGGTTCATGTTTCATATAGTCGTGTGAGTGGCCAGGGTTCATGTTTCATATAGTTGTGTGAGTGGCCAGGGTTCATGTTTCATATAGTCGTGTGAGTGGCCAGGGTTCATGTTTCATATAGTTGTGTGAGTGGCCAGGGTTCATGTTTCATATAGTTGTGTGAGTGGCCAGGGTTCATGTTTCATATAGTTGTGTGAGTGGCCAGGGTTCATGTTTCATATAGTCGTGTGAGTGGCCAGGGTTCATGTTTCATATAGTTGTGTGAGTGGCCAGGGTTCATGTTTCATATAGTCGTGTGAGTGGCCAGGGTTCATGTTTCATATAGTTGTGTGAGTGGCCAGGGTTCATGTTTCATATAGTCGGGTGAGTGGCCAGGGTTCATGTTTCATATAGTCGTGTGAGTGGCCAGGGTTCATGTTTCATATAGTTGTGTGAGTGGCCAGGGTTCATGTTTCATATAGTTGTGTGAGTGGCCAGGGTTCATGTTTCATATAGTTGTGTGAGTGGCCAGGGTTCATGTTTCATATAGTCGTGTGAGTGGCCAGGGTTCATGTTTCATATAGTTGTGTGAGTGGCCAGGGTTCATGTTTCATATAGTCGTGTGAGTGGCCAGGGTTCATGTTTCATATAGTCGTGTGAGTGGCCAGGGTTCATGTTTCATATAGTTGTGTGAGTGGCCAGGGTTCATGTTTCATATAGTTGTGTGAGTGGCCAGGGTTCATGTTTCATATAGTTGTGTGAGTGGCCAGGGTTCATGTTTCATATAGTTGTGTGAGTGGCCAGGGTTCATGTTTCATATAGTCGTGTGAGTGGCCAGGGTTCATGTTTCATATAGTTGTGTGAGTGGCCAGGGTTCATGTTTCATATAGTTATAGTCGTGTGAGTGGCCAGGGTTCATGTTTCATATAGTTGTGTGAGTGGCCAGGGTTCATGTTTCATATAGTCGTGTGAGTGGCCAGGGTTCATGTTTCATATAGTTGTGTGAGTGGCCAGGGTTCATGTTTCATATAGTTGTGTGAGTGGCCAGGGTTCATGTTTCATATAGTCGTGTGAGTGGCCAGGGTTCATGTTTCATATAGTCGTGTGAGTGGCCAGGGTTCATGTTTCATATAGTTGTGTGAGTGGCCAGGGTTCATGTTTCATATAGTCGTGTGAGTGGCCAGGGTTCATGTTTCATATAGTTGTGTGAGTGGCCAGGGTTCATGTTTCATATAGTCGTGTGAGTGGCCAGGGTTCATGTTTCATATAGTTGTGTGAGTGGCCAGGGTTCATGTTTCATATAGTTGTGAGTCAACTTCTCCAGGCCACTGTAGCTAAACCACAAAACCTAGAGACTTTTTATTTGGATTTTTGTGTTTCTTGAAGGCTAATTAACAATGTCATAAGAAAAAATAAATTTTTTCGGAACAATTTTTTTCTTGAGCGTCCTGAGGATGTTTGCCATTTAACATTTAACGGTTTAAGGGTTAACCACCAATGTCATTGCCATTACCATTGCTACTGCCAGTCAGTAAACATTGGGCATGTTTCAGGTACCCGGAGTACCGTAACCCGCCAGGAACCAAAGACCAGTACAAGTATGCTCCTATATTTTGGCACATCCTGGCCGCGAGGCTTGCCTTTGTCGTCGTGTTTGAGGTAGGTTCACCTAGAGTACTGTACTGTATTGGTATGTGTTGTTATGGTGGCGGGTGTGCACAACTTACATATATGTGTATGTATGTGTGTGCGTGTGTGTGTACTCGCCTAATTGTGCTTGCGGGGGTTGAACTCTGGCTCTTTGGTCATGCCTCTTAACGGTCACAAATGTATGTGTATGTGTGTGTGTGTGTGTGTGTGTATTTATATTATTTTTTTATGGGGGGGGGAATTTTAATCAAATTTAAAGTTGTAATTTTAAGATTTTATGTTGAGATGAATTCGGGGCTTAGCGTCCCCGCGGCCTGATCCTCAACCAGGCCTCCTTTTTTGTTACACACCTCCAGGAAGCAGCCCATTGCAGCTGTCTAACTCCCAGGTACCTGTTTACTGCTAGGTAACAGCATTTGTAATCTAATATTGTATTCTTGTTTTAGTAATTGCATCCAACCAGACATAGCTAATTATTACTTTCCCAAAAGTATTTAAAGATTATAGGTCCTTTACAGCAGTGATCTGTGTTCTTGACTAACAATTGAGGGACCCCCCTGGTCCCTCAATTGGACCAGGGGTTCCTCGGTCTCAATCCATTAGGAGGCTGACCCAGCCTCCTAAAAATAGGAGGCCGACCCAGCCTCCTAAAAATAGGAGGCCGACTCAGCCTCCTAAAAACAGGAGGCCCGGTCGAGGACCAGGCCGCAAGGAAGTTGAGCCCCGAAATCATCACAAGGTAGATGATTAGGTAGGTAGGTAGGTATACATCGCAATCATCGGGAGCCGGTCGGCCGAGCGAACAGCACGCTGGACTTGTGATCCTGTGGTCCCGGGTTCGATCCTAGGCGCCAGCGAGAAACAATGGGCAGAGTTTCTTTCACCCTATACCCCTGTTACCTAGCAGTAAAATAGGTACTTGGGTGTTAGTCAGCTGTCACGGGCTGCTTCCTGGGGGTGGAGGCCTGGTCGAGGACCGGGCCGCGGGGACACTAAAGCCCCAAAATCATCTCAAGATAACCTCAAGATAAGGTAACCCCTTGCAGTTACCTTGCCTTACCCTGCATTGATTCTGGAGGGGAGTTGGGGGGGGGGGGGTCGAGGTCCCCACAGCCCAGTCTCCGACCGGGCCTCCTGGTTGGTGGTCTGGTCAATCCTGTTGGGTTCAATTCCCAGGCATATCAGAAATGATTTGGGCATATTTCTTTTCACCTGATTCCTCTGTTCACCTGGGTTGTAAATTGGCACCCAGGAGTTGGACAACTGTTGTGGTTTGGATCATGGGGAAGGCCTATATTTGGCCTAAGGGGGATCTCAGTAAACCAAAGCACAGGCTTCCTGTCCATGATAATGGGAATAAAAGATAAAAACACTTGTATATGTACTATAAATTGGACTCTTAGACTTGAACGTTCCGAGGGTGGAGCAGTAATTAGGGTTTTATGATGTACGTGTGTGCTTGTAGAAGGTTGATGAGGGCTTTGATGAGTAATTACCTAAGTGTAATTACCTAAGTGTAGTTACAGGATGAGAGCTACGCTCGTGGTGTCCCGTCTTCCCAGCACTCTTTGTCATATAACACTTTGAAACTACTGACGGTCTTGGCCTCCACCACCTTCTCACTTAACTTGTTCCAACCGTCTACCACTCTATTTGCGAAGGTGAATTTTCTTATATTTCTTCGGCATCTGTGTTTAGCTAGTTTAAATCTATGACCTCTTGTTCTTGAAGTGCCAGGTCTGTGTGTGTGTGTGTGTGTGTGTGCATCACACCAGTATTGGCTTTTGAATATTATAATATTTGAAAAACTGATGATGATAATATATAGTGAAACATGCTTAGCAAGGCGAGTCTTTATTTAATGGTGTGTCAATCAAATATGAACTTTATCGAGGCCTACAGAGAAAATACAACACCAAACTGTATGGTGTGTCAGAATGTGGATTACTGATGATTTCTGCAAGCGTACTCGTCCATTGTACGAGCCAGATAATATTTGCTAATTTGCTACTTATTATGGTAAATTCACTCCCCACTGGCTTGGAAATATGTTAGAATAACGTTTAACCTTTAAAATGTGCGTAGGATTAATGAAGTATCATGTCTGTAAACATAAAAAATAATAATTCAAAATAAAAAAAAATTTGTTCTATATTGCAAAAACCATGTCCTGAGCATAGGAAAAATACCCAACAAATCATGTCACTTTTCAAGATGATGGATGTTTACTGGAGGTCTCAAATATCAATTGGGAAAACTGTTCCTCCAGGAGTTTCAGATGTTACAAAATACAAAAAAAAAATATAAAAATATTAGGATGATAAATGTGCCATCTGTTTATCTTATTAAGATGATATGCATATTTTAAAGGTTAAAAACCACGATGAAATGAGTAACAACACTAATATTTTTCAGAACGTGGTGTGCGTCATAATGATGTTTATCAAGTGGATCATCCCGGACATGCCGTTTCGACTACAAGTAAGCGATTTCATTTGTCTTCCTTTGGGCTGGATGGTAGAGTGACGGGTCTCGCTTCATGCAGGTCGGCGTTCAATCCCCGTCCATCCAAGTGATTGGGCACCATTCTTTCCCCTCATTCCCATCCCAAATCCTTATCCTGATCCCTTTTAAGTTCTATATAGTTGTAATGGCTTGGCACATTCCCCTGATAATTCCTTCCTTCCTACACTATGGAGGATGTGTGAAATTGAGGTCCACTGTTAGCAGCCGTCTTAAATCTGGGTACCCCAATACCTTTGCCACGCCCAAGGTGGCATGCATCAAAACATGAGATAAATATGAAAAAATGCCTTAAGTCTTAGAGTTGTAAGCATGTGGAATGGATTAGATGAAGAAGTGGTTGAAGTTAACTTATTTCAGTTGAGAATTTTAAATGCAGATGATAAGAAAAATGAGAGAAACGAGTCATTGCACGAAACTACAAAATGTTTGAAAGCTGAGACTCGGAGCTGATGCTTTACAATGCAAGTTCTGTACATCTAGATTTATACATCTAGTCTCTTATGTTAGGTAGTTGTTGAATATGAAACCTTAGAAATAATACTGTTGAGTCAATATGAAAAGCACCTTTTAGAACTAAATCATTTGGCAGCTTTTGATTTCCTCCAGTTTACTCCTCGGAGGGAGCTACTGGTGGAGTCCTGAAACAGTCTCACTAAGGTTTTTCCATGCAGATGGGTCACACGAGACTCGGGAGTTGTGTTTAGTCTACCGGGGACCAGAACCTGGCATTATGTAGTGTGTGAGATGGCTCAATTCTGGTAATGCAGAAGCAGGAATGGTGCTGCTTTCATTCTTCCCTATAATATGTCCCTTTCTGTGGAGAGCCCCTTCAGCTTCCCAGAGCTATACCGGGCTGATGTGTATATATTAGACCATGGCAACAGTCAATAGAAGGAGTTCTAGGCCTACCGGGAACCGGAGCCAGAACCTGGCCCCCTCCAGAGAGGCACAAGGAGCAATGGCCTTAAGACACCCCTGTGTAATTGGAAGCAGTCTTTGTCTGCCATCTACCAGGCCAGGCACCCAGAAAGATAGGAATTCCAAAACAAACAACTGCTGAATAATTAATTGCAAACCGAAAGCTGAACTAGCAACAGAACTCTCCAATCAAAACCAAGGAAACCAGTATGACGTCACCACAAACACCGCACATCCGTCTGCGCAACCCCCTCCCCCCGCTTCCCTCCCCAGGAGGGGGACGGAGGGGTCCCAGACCTCCGCGCCGGCAACTCTCCTCAGTTCACAGGCTGTTGTGAGGGAGAACGGTCGATCAACTGTGGCTCCCTCCTTTTGAGCAGTGCTGCAGTGCGGTGGTTGTGTTTCATTTTTGGTATCATGCAAGCCAGGATTAATACAAGAGTAGGGGCTGCCTTCCCTAGGTGCCCTGTAAGAACTGCCCCTGCGGCTTCAGGGTTGGTTATCTTCCCTGAACCGTTCGGGAACTACCTCTGTGTGGTTCTGTTGCTGCTCGGTGATTGCCTGCCCTTGGGGGTTCTGCTGGGGTGGTTCTTGCTCCTTTTTTCCCTTGGGTAGGAGGTAGTTTTGTCATTGGTTTTAGCACGAGGTACTGTGCAGCTGTCTGATATACGCATAGCGACCGGTTCTGTTCTCCTGGAGACGTTGTGCTTCTGCGGGGTTTTTCTTTTATTTTGTTTTGTTTTGCCTGGCGGGGGTCTGCCAGGTGTGGCGGTAGGACCACTTGTATGATTTTGGTGGCCCTCCACTAGGTCCCTGTGCTTGTACACGTCGCAGGAGTTCAGCTTTTAGTTTGTTTGCTTGGTAGCTCTGGGATAACCAGTTAGCAGTACCTCGTCTGGGCTTCCCTTAGCAGTTAGCCTAAGGACCCTGGAAACCCCCTTGGGGGCTCAGCGGTCCGATGGAAGAGACCCCAGAGTCCCACCTCGCCTTGTGAGAGTTTAAAGATTGTTCTGTCCCCTTGACTCGGGGTGACACTCACCGTCTTTGTCTCCGCCATGCTGCTTGTTAGGTCAATGACACCTTTGACCCGGAGTCCTGCAAGTGGTGTTCCTTGTTTGTTCTCAAATTCACCCAGTCCACTGAGCTTGTTATTAGGGTGCAAGCAGCTTCGGCGTTGCATGCAAGGTTTAGGTTGCTGCAACACGCAAGGTTGGTTGCCTTTCCGGATGCCCCACAGCTGCCCCACTTTGGTTATAGGGACCCGGACTTGGGGGGTGTTAGTCTCCTCGACTTTGGTTTCATCTGCTCTGCTCCCCCTAGTCCTTCCCCCTGTTGTGGTTCATCCTGCCCCTCCCCCCTGCTTCTGGCTCCCAAACGTCTGAGGGTTTAAGAGTCGGGCAGGGTTTGCCTGGTGGTGAATCTCGGGCGGCTTCAGGGAATGCCCCTTCCGGATTGGCGGCAGAGGCACTCGAGCCTGATCCTCCTGCTGGAGCCCTTGGGCTGTGCCAGCGGGTCTCCTTCATCCCAGCTTTTCTGGCAGACTCTGCCTTTTCTCCAGAGGCAGAGGGTTTGGAGGACAGCTCGGCCCCGGGTCCTGACGTGGAGGTTCCCGGGGCTGGGGAGGAGTTGACTTGGGGTGCTTGGGCCCCGTTTGACCCCGCTTGGGTGTTGGTACCCTCAGCGCGGGGCTTGTTGTTACAGGGGGAGGGGTTTTCCTATCCCCCCTCCCTGTACGAGTTTGATATGGGTGCGACTCCTCCCCGGGTTCGGTTCCGGGTTCCCTTGGGTTCCTCGGTTCCCTCCTTCCAGAGGTTTTCAGCTTCCCGCATCACATCAAAGGTGGCGCGGGAAGCCCTTGCGGCTTACCTCTTGTGAGACTCGGATTACGCCTCGGCAATGGATCCTTCTTCTTTCGAGTTTGGCTCCTCGTTTTCTTTCTGGATACATTACGAGGTGCCGGAGTCTTCCTGGCTGGTGGACTGCCCTTTCTTTTCTTTGGGGGCATGGCACTCGTTATGTCGGACCCGTGCGCTTGAATGGCAGGAAGTGTCTACAGTTGTCCAGGTTTACCTGGGGGGCAAATTTGAGCACCTCAATGCGTGCTTGTTCGCCCCCGTACTTCCTTGTGATGTCGGTCAGATTCAGCTTCACGCGCAGGTTCCCTCCCTTTCGGCATCCCTGGTGGCCGAGGATTTACGCGAATGTGGGCATTTGGCTTCAGTCTTGCGTTTTTTCTCTGCTGGAGCTGTCTTCGAACTGGCTCGGCGAGGATGCGCAGGAACTCGGATATGGGCCTATGTCCGGTGTGTTTGCTTCGGTGACTCGGTCGTCGGCTGCCTTGTTGAAGTTGTTTGCGCTGATTCTGAGGGAGGCGGTGTCCCTGTTCTTTGCTTCTCGTCTCACATGCTGTCAGGCGGTGCTCGTCCACTCATTGGAATCAGCTTGCGCCCTGGCTCTTAGATATTCTTCCCCTTTTTGTCCGTTGCTGTTTGCAGAGTCTGCGGTGGTGCATTTTCTGCAAGCGGCTTCATCTAGTTGCCAGCCGATGTCGGACTTGTTGGTTCTCCGGGGTGGCCGTGGTGGTCCTGCCCGGAAGGGTCGTGCCAGATCCCGGGGTTCCTTTGGTCGTCGTAAGCCAGTAGTGCCAGATCCGGGGCCGGCACCTCCTCTAGAACCGTTGGCATCTGGTCGGCACAGTGATCGCTCTGAGCGTCGGTCAGGCTCTCGTAGGGGTCGTCGGCCCTTTTGCGGATTGTCCTGTTGACAGGGCGATAGGGGGAAGGCTCGCGCTATTTGCTCTCGCCTGGACCCACGATTCGTGGGCATTTCGGGTCGTTTCCTCCGGCCTGCAGTGGTGTTGGGTCGCTGCTCCTCCTTTGAGGGGGGGGGGGTCGAGGTTGGTAGGGCAGGCTTCTTCTCCTGTGCTATGTCAGGTCATCCGGGAGTGGGTTCGCTTGGGTGTGGCCGAAACAACAACATCCCTCAAGTGGATTTCCCACCTGTTTTCAGTTCCGAAACTGGACTGTGCAGATCTGCGATTCATACTGGACTTGTCTCGTCTGAATCCCTGGGTCTTTTGCCCCTCTTTTCGGATGACCACTCTGTCTCAGGTCCAGCTGCTTTTGGCGCCGGGTGCCTGGGTGGTGTCTCTGGACCTCCGGGATGCATATTGGCACGTCCCAATTCATCCGGGGTTTAGGGACTGGCTCGGTTTTGTCATGGGGCGACAAGCTTACCGCTTTCATTGCCTTCCATTCGGCTTGAATCTGGCACCTCAAGTGTTCACACGCCTTACCCGGGTCGTGGTGGCCCAGTTGCGTCTGTTAGGGATTCGGGTTCTGGCTTACCTCGACGACTGGCTGGTGTGGGCTCCCAGCCAGTTCGCGTGTCTGCTTGCCAGGGATATGGTTCTTTCCCGGTTCGCCGGGTTTGGGTTTATGGTGAACTGGAGGAAGTCCCTTTTGGTTCCTTCTCAGGTTCGGACATGGCTGGGTCTGGTGCGGGACTCGCAGACTGCTTCCTTGTCTCTCCCTCCTGCGATGCTGTTACGGCTGTGGTCCCGCCTCCGACTGTTTTTGGAGGGCACCCGGGTCACACGTCGGTTGTTCGAGCGGCTGTCTGGGAGCTTGAACATTGCTGTGATGGTCTACCCATTGGGTCGGATCTGGCTTCGGTAGATGTTCTGGTTCCTGTGGGGTCATCCCTTCTGCCGCTCTCACGATCAATGGGTTCGGATCCCGGGAGCCCTGCGTCGGCTGCTGCGTCGCCGGTTTCCTCTGCGGGTTTTTCGGGGTTCTGTGCTGTGGCGCCTCCCCGAGCCCTCGCTTGATGTGTTTGCGGATGCCTCGTCTCTCGGCTGGGGTTTTGTGACAAGTGCTCACCAGGCCGGTTATGGTTGGTGGGTTCCATCCTTCCGTCGAGCTCACAGCACGGTGCGGGAGTTTGCGGCAGTGTGGCATTCGCTTTAGAGGATTCGGGTCGCTCGAGGAGCAACGATCCGACTCCATTCGGACTGCTCCCCGGTGGTTCATTGCTTGAACTGCGGGGGTTCGATGTTCTTTGTTCTTTGGGGCTGGTTGCTTCGGGTGATTCGTCTGCTGAGTTCTCGGGGTTTGGCTCTCCTGGCGGTTCATGTCCGGGGGGGTGTCCAACGTCCTGGCGGACGGCCTGTCTCGGTTCTGTCCCCTGTCCTCGGAGTGGACGATCGATGCCGACTCTTTCCGTTGGCTGTGCCGGATGTTCGGGACTCCGGACGTGGAGTCCTTGTTGGTCCTTTCAGGGTCCTGGGTCGTTCCTCCCGGCCGGGGGCATATCTGCACGCTCGGGTTGGTTCTTTCCGGCTCGCCGGGTTTGGGTTTCTGGTTCCCTGGCGGCCGTTCCTTCTGGTTTCTTGCCAGCCTTGGTTTCGGTCGCTGCTTGCACATTATCCGAACCCGGGTGTTCCCCCCAGCTCTGCCTCTTTCAGAAGATTGTCCCGGTCCGTTACGAGCCTGGTTCGCTCTTCTCCTCGAGTCTTCGCTTTTGGTAATTTTGAATCAAGTTTATTCCCGATTGTTTGGTGATCAGGTGGCTGCGTTGATGGTGTCCCACCTGCGGGCTTCGTCTCGGCGGCAGTATGAAGTTTCCTGGCGGTCCTTCCGTTTCTTTTTGACTCTTCGTCATTGTCCTTCGCTTTCGGTTTGGGTTGTGTTGTCCTTTCTCTCATGGTTATTCCAGGTCCGTCATCTGTCGAATACTGTCACCTCATATCGTGCGGCGCTGGCACTGACACGGCCACTTCAGCTTGCTTTTGGTATAGATGTTACTTCTGCGCCATTTTGCAAGATGTCTCCTGCGTTGTTTCACTTCTGGCCTGCTTGTGCGCCGCCTGAGCCGTCCTGGTCTTTGGACAGGGTGCTCTCCATTTTCTCTTCTCCTCGGTTTGATGTGGCCCCTTCGGTTCAGGATTGTTTTTCGAAGGCTCTTTTTTCCTGTTGGCGTTGGCCTCTGGGGGTTGGGTCAGGGAGCTTCGTGCTCTCCTCCAGCGCAGGGGTTTCAGCTCTTTCGGTCATAGAGATAGGTTTGTTCATCTGCAGCCGTCTCCTTCTTTTCTGGCGAAGACTGAGACTGCTGCTTTCCGGAGGGGTCCTAGGGTTGTTGATGCTTGTTTGGTCGGGCGGGGGGATGCATCATGTTTTGTGTCCAATTGCGGCCCTCCGCCGTTATTTGTGCGCCACGGCTTCTGTGTCCAGGGATGTGCTTTGGGTTGAACCAGTTTCCCTTCTTCCCTGTTTGCAGGTACAGGTATCTCGGGGTCATCCGCAAAGTTATTCAGTCTAGCCAGCCTGTGGTCTATCCCCATGCTTATGACGTTCGTAAGTTTGCTGCTCTTGCTGCCGTTTTTGGGAACATGTCCTGGGCTGACATTCGGGCACGGGGATTTTGGCGGTCGAACAAAGTCCTGGCTGCACGCTACCTCGTGCACGTTCCTGGGCCTAGTCGGGCCTGTGTCGCTTTGGGTCGGCAGCTGCAGCCTGTCTCGACTTGGAGTTGAGAAGTGGAGTACCAACCGCCTCCTGGGGTAAGTCCCCATTTTTCCCTTAGTCTTTTGGTAGAGTAGCTCCGGGGAGCCGTAGGGGCTACCCCCAGAAAACCAGCGTTGAATATAATGAAATGCTATTTTCTGGGTGAGTCCCGGAGGGCTCCCCCGGCAACCCTCCCTCCCTCCCTCCGGTCGGCAGTTTTTGCGTATTTTGATATCCAGCCTCGGAACTGAAGGTATGGATCGCCGGCACGAGGGTCTGGGACTCCCCCCTTCCCCCCTCCCAGGGAGGGGGGAGCTGCGCAGACATGCGGTGCAGCTCGTGTGATGTCGTGTTTGTTTGATCGTTTTCCCTTGGGGGAATTCTGTCCATCTGTTTTGTTATTTTTGTTGGTTTTACCAGAATAGGGGTTTGTTTTTGTCAGGCACCTTTCTGGGTACCTGGCCCGGTCGATGGCAGATATAGAATGCTCTAAAATCACATGTGCATTTCTATAGGCCATTGCTTCTTGTGCCTCTCTGAGGGGGCCAGGTTCTGGCTGTGGTCCCCGATAGGCCTAGAACTCCACCCACATCGATTGATGCCAAAAGTTAGAACTATCCCTATCAGCCTGGATAGCTCTGGGGTGCCTCCGGGACTCACCCAGAAAATGGTATTTTATTACATTCAATGCTGTTTTTTTTATGACATGTCAAATTGAGAGAGAACTTGCCAGGCAGGCCAACCAGTACTTAACGAGAAGCCTCATTGGCAGCCAATTACGAAACCAAGGAATGATTCAGAAGGGCTTTTGAGTTTCTATAAATGGATCAAGCTCGCTCTCAGTCATTCCGACTAGACTGCATAAGCTTCACAGACTCCCTTGAACTTATAATGACTCTATGTAGGACTATTTGATCAGTTGCCTGTGGTGCGTGCTGGCATATTGTCTCGCCTGACTGTAGCATGGTCCTCTCCATGGACACAAGGGATCCTACCTTAGAAAGTTGTTGACTGTGACACCTCAACATTTTGGCTTTCATCTGGACTCAAAGCTTTATTTTGGCGAGGGAGGGGAGCAAATGACACAATCCTATTCCATCATCAACTATTATTATTATGATTATTATTATTATCTTAATTAATGAGAATAATACTCGGCATTAATCAATCGGTCATTTCAGGAACAAATACGTAGAGAGGCCTATGTCACCAATGAGCTGATTGTGGAACAAGAGCTGCGTCGTGCTCGAGGAGAGAATGACAACACTGCCAGCTCGTCTCCCGTGCGGTCGCCACTCCGCAGGCAGTTCTCTGAACCTGCAAGACCGAAGAATGGGCATGACGTCAGGTTTCGTCTCAGTGGGGAAAAAGAGGACTTTGCCTCCAATGTGTAAGAAATCGTACAGAAATCCCAAGTGCCTGTAATTTAAAACAAGGCTAGAATGATATTAGGAGTAGTTTCAGAATTGTCTCCAAGTTACGTACTACAATTGTGATGTTTCCGCAACATCAAGATACAAATACTGTATTATAAACTAGTAATTACTAGTATATATATATATATATATATATATATATATATATATATATATATATATATATATATATATATATATATATATATATATATATATATATATATATATATATATATATATATATATATATATATATATATATATATATATATATATATATATATATATATATATATATATATATATATATATATATATATATATATATATATATATATATATAACTGAATCAAAACGTTTTATAAATGTTTATAACTAAATGATTCATTGATTTTTTTTTTAATTTTCATTTATTGCCACAAAGATTTTAGTTATGACAAAAGGAACATGATTCGTTCATCACTTACTAGATAATAGAACTTGTTATATGTCTGAAGTGGGGTTTTCTTTAGACTTGAAGCTCATTTTAATGTCATACTCTACAAGTTTACCCTAAAACACAAACAACCGATCAATTTACATTCACGCCCAATGCCACTGCTGGATGTCCATGTGACCGTAGTGAAGGCATAGTGCCCCAATAGAGACTATTGGGGCATCCTCCGGAAGTCTCTGGAGCCTTGCATATGAAGCTTAGTGTGGTAACTAACACACCACAGGCATTTATCATCATGCCTGTGGATAGCATTGCACTCCTACCGAAAATATATACAAAGACGGCAAATACAGTTTGCCTGACCTACCGAGCCAGCCTTGCGTTTTGGGCCAACCGGTGTGTTAAGGTAAGGAGTGGCGTAGGACAGTTCCTGAGTGGCTACAGCTGTCCATCAGAACTTTAAACATGTCTTGCGTGATTTAATCCCAACATGCCTTCAGTTTGACATTTTTGCACTGATGATGGGGGTAGATGCATTATCTTGAATCTATTGCCTCTCTTCATCCATAAATTTGATTCTATTGGCAATCAAATCGATTTTATCATTTATGACATACAGCACATACAGGTTTTATTGCCTTATGTAGTATTTATTTAGTAAAAAATAATGTAATGTGTTCATCTATAATTAGATTTGCTTCCAAAATATATTTTAAATCAAAGATATTTTTGCATTCTAGATATTGCTTTGAAGTTGCAAATCTATTGCAAGCTCAGTTATTTTCAGACATGTAATCAAGAGTCTATTAACTCTCATGGATTACTTGTAAAATGCAACTAATTTTTAATATGTTAAACATCATTTTAACAAAGAGAACTGATCATATGTATGTACTTGGGTGTGTGTGTGTACACATGTGTATATTCTTGTATGTATACGCACATACTATTTGATCCCAAATGGTATTCATTTTGTATACAAGAAGTCAAGTAACGTCTTGGACGTCATCTGAGAACTTGCTTGCGTAATGACTGACCTTGTTTACAGAGAAAGAAGGTCCCTTAACAACTAACATAATATTATTGCTCATTTATACTAAAGATTTTAGTAAAATCTTCATTTTGTGATCATGATTGTGAAAGGCAGTTTTACTTAATCAAAAATGCTCTCGAGTGCATGAAATGAATGTACTAAGGACCTTTGTTTCCTATCTCTTTTGAGACAGTGCATGACGTAGGATGTATGTGTGTGTGTGTGTGTGTGTGTGTGTGTGTGTGTGTGTGTGTGTGTGTGTGTGTATGTGTGTGTAGTACAGTACTGTGTAGTACAGTACTTTAACTTCCCACCCAAACTTGTCTTAATGCCATCCTACTTATAATAATTGAACCTTTGTATAATCCATTTTATGAACAAAAAACTTTTTATAGATTGATGTTTGTGTGTGTGTGTGTGTGTGTGTGTGTGTGTGTGTGTGTGTGTGTGTGTGTGTGTGTGTGTGTGTGTGTGTGTGTGTGTGTGTATGTATGTACAAGTGGCTCATATATATTATATATGAGCCACTTGTCTGTGTATAGGAAATGTTCTTTAAAAAAAAAAGCAGACATGAAGTCTTTACGACGTGAATCATTAGTTTTTGATAACATACGTGCAATTTGACCTTTGTGAGCAGCAGCAGTACAGTAGTAGTAGTAGTAGTAGTGAAGATATATTGATGAGTTGTTTTACATATATTTATTGATTTATTTACAGATATCCTTAAAAGGTCTGTTCTTAGTTAATGGTCAAAAACTTTGTTGTTTATTTGAGATTTTAATGTGAACTCTGATGTGGAGAGTTTGGAGTGTAAGATAGATAGTTACGGTGTATTGATAATACAGTACTGTGTGCTCCACCCAAGTGATGTTACGGGAACAGTTACAGGTATTATGCACAAGAAAAAGCTCATTATAAGAAAAGAAAAAGGAAAAACGTTTTTTCCCCGAATCATGGTTTATAAGTTGTGCAATACTGCGTGTCGTACTTTTTTTGTTGCTTTTATATGGAAATGATTATTTCTTCTACAAGAGCGGAGCTTTCCTACTTTTTTGCACAATTATTGGGTCATTGCTATACTCGTGTGAGACTTGGCATACACATTGATGCCCACCGTGAGAATTAGTAGCCAGGTGCTTGGGGCTAGCCTCACCCAACTTTGCATGGTGATTTCTGTGGGGCAGATGCCCTTCATGGGCAGATTGGGATCGGCCCCATTACTGCCATTAAAAAAAAAAATGCTGTTCAGCTACCATGGTGACATCAAGGTATTAATCAGTGTTACCAGCTTGTGGGCTTAGGCGGGAGGTTTAATGTTACTTGCAATGTAAGTTCATGAAATTCAATTCAGCTGGACATGCAGGTAATGCATGTAATGAACACTTGTAGTTCAACATAAGAAGTGAATGTATGCATCAAGTATGAATAGAAGAATAAATGAGTGTTTCTGTATATATTTCTGTCATGCCGACGTCTCTCTGCCCCACGAAGCCTGAAAACAGGTTTACCACAAAGAAAAGTGAAAACAAGAAATTAATTAAATATATTTGTGTATATTTCAACACATCTTCAAGAGAGATGTGAAAATATACACAAAAACACTCCAGTAATTTTGTTCTCTCATTTTCCTTCATGGTCGTATGTTTTCACATTCATCACGTGTTAATTTCTTCATGATTTACATACATTATATGACATATAATGGAAGGAAAGGTGAGAGACAAATGTAAGGATAAATATAATGAGAAATGTGGCAGTTTGCAGTTGAGGAGAATAAACTGTTTAATGTTTGTGAAGGATGGGCAGACGGCAGCTTGAGACACTATTTGAGAAAACAGGAAAATTATGTTGGATATATTTAGGTACAACTATTATTTATGTTTGTGTCAAGAATATCATTTATGAAATCTATTTACAATTAGATTATTCAATATTCCAAGTATTTAAGTAATATTTTGATGCAATAGAAATAGACCTTTTGGGTTAGCAGCGTTTTAAAATATAATATGATGACCAAACCACAACCCAGAAAAACGGAGAAGTGACGACGTTTCGGTCCATCCTGGACCATTGTCAGGTCGAGTGATATGACTTGATAATCGTCCAGGATGAACCAAAACATCGTCGCTTCTTCATCTACTGAGTTATGGTTTGGTCATTGTATCTTAAGCCACGTTATCGTGACTCATTGTCTAAAATATAATATTTCTGTGACAAAGATGCAGTGAAGAGTATGAGATCAGACCAGACGGATAAATATTTTCGTGGACTAGTTTTTGAGGTTACTCTTTAACAGGTTGTGCAGTTAATACTTAGCAGTATTAAATTTTGGGGACTTGAGATTAGTCGTGAATGGCTCGGGATCAAAGGTGTGTGGGAAACGAGATGGCTGGCAGTTTACACCACTAGATGGCAGTGAAATTACATAATTAAATTAGGGCTGTGCTGATATTGCTCATTTAATTTCGTGCACTAATGGAGTAGAATTGCAGAAAATAGCTGTACATTGCATTATAACGCCACGTTATTGGTGTTATAATTGACATTAAAGTTATTTTCACTTTTTCCTCCAGAAAATTAAATTTAATGTACTGTAATTTAATATGCACCAGTTTATCATTGTGTTTGTTTTATGGCTGTAAATATTACTTAAATTCTTTGGAAAGAAATCTAGTCAGTTGTGATCACTGAAAATACAGTTTGATTCCTGTACTGTACTTAAAATTGATTATAGGATTACTTGAAACACATTTGAATACTGTATTTTCAATTTGATTTTTGGTGCTATTAATAGTCTGCCATTTGTAGTTATGAATCCACCCAGAAGAAGGGACATGAAACAATAGGTAATTGCCAGATAATAAATTACACGTAAATGTAAGAAGTTTACAATTTGATTTACACCAGTTGTAAATACCAGACTAAATTTGTCTCGCATTCAATATATTCATTATACATACAGCTGACACACACACCCACATAGTACTGATCATTGAATATATATACAGTATATTTATATATATTTTCTTCGCTCGTGTTGTGTGTTATTAGATTAGGTCTCGAGTTTCCTCCTCGTATGGTGCTATTAAACGATCATTTGTTTTGGTGTTTACTATAAGAGACAGTGTTACTATAAAAGAGAGAGTTACTATAAGAAAGTGTTTCTATAAGAGAGTGAGTTTCTATAAGAGAAAAAGTCAAGTCTAGATGTTGGTTTTGAATCTGTTTGATGTCTGGAGAGTGCATGTGCATTTGTCTATTTAGGTCTCTATCCCCCCACCCCCTCCCCGTTCTGAGTTGACTTGAGGTTCTAATTGTATAAATCAAATTTGTGACGTTAAAACTCTTAAGAGTCCTATTTGGATGTTTTTGCACAAAGTTCCTGATATAAATAAGTACTTAATTGGCATTAGTAGTAGTTATAGGCTGACGTCGTTCATCTCTGATATTCTGCATGCAAGGTTATTACATAGTATAAAACTAATTACTGGCTAATTGGCACTAAATATTTTGTAAAATATGAAAAGATATTTTTGTGGTGAAATATTATTAGATTAATGTTTAAGATTAAAAGGTAAATCTAGTTGGTTAGACACAGTACACACATTACAAAATAAATTCCTGCTAAACATGATTTGTGTGAACTTAAACTGTGTGTTTGTCATATTACATTTACTATCTTAGCTTAGTTATTCTTTTTATATTTTTTAAATTAATTTAGTTTGAGATTTTTCACAAAATCCTAAAGATGTGAACTGAATTCTCTTCAAAACGTTGCAAGAAAGTCTTTCTCCGTCAGCACGATCTTTTTAATAGGTACTTACCGTACTTCTTTCTTTTTGTTGGCATAACTGTCAATTGTAGGAAAATGTGACATGTAATTTCTCATTTGGTAACCATTGTCAAAATAAATGATCATGTATTTTTCCTGGGCGTCAAATTACCGACGGCTGTGTTGGGGAAACGTGGATTGTTTGCGGGAACAAATTCAATGATGTGCGTGCAATGCGTGTCAACTGCAGTGGATATTCGGCAGTCTGGGGGATTACTTTAAAAAATGAAATATACCAAGAAATGTCAACCCGAAGAATTCAGCAGTCGGCAGTAGTGATCGTTATCTAAAAATAGTTTTTCATTGTAGTTTTGAAATATTATCATATCTATTTTTTACTACAGTTTAACAGTGTATAAATTGTTGGTTATAGTTAAGTGTGTGACCATTTGTATTTAATTACCTTGATTTATATGTTTTGATGCATTGTTTAGTATGATTCAGTACATACAGTACTGTGTTGTATTTCTTGTATCAAGTGTAAATGGCAACTATTTTCTTTACAAAATAGTGATTTATATCTTTAATGCTACATCCAGGTATGAAAGTCATTTATTCACCTTTGAATGTGCAGTACATTGTTCATGTACCACTGAAAGGTTGTGTATGTGCCAGATGTGTGAGACCCTGCAAAATGACGTTACACTGTACAACTAATTTGACAAAGCCAAACTTTTTCAGTCACGTTGTACTAAATTTGTGTTGTGAATGACCTTGTACCAAAGTGGAGTAGTATGGCAAACGCAAAATAACAAGTGTATGGTGGGTGAATAGCTTTGTGCTGAATAATATGATTATTCAAACATTGCGAGTCACTTGTGTGGTTTGCAAGCTGTAGAGTGAATGAGCTTTTCAAAACATAATTTTTGTGTAAGGAAATGTTGTACAAAATAAAATGTTGCTTAACTCATAATTGTCTATTTTAAGTAAAACTTCTGAAATGTTTTGAAGTTTAAGAAATTTTAAAGATCATTTGAGTTATCACCCAGTGGCAAAATATGCTTTAGTAATGTAAAATCAATTTTATCAGCAGTGATACTATGTTTCATTCATCCCTTGCCCGAATTTGATCATTGTTTTATGACACAGAATTCCTCGCATAATATGCTTATTTAATGTCTTGACAGTATAAAGGAAACTGAAGTTGTATTTAGGTATTAGTTTTTAATTTAATAGCAAGATATGCTCAAGAAATGTCATTAGTTTAATCTCACTGCATTTGTTATATTGTTCTTTGCTTGTGTTTTTGACGCTATTTATGGTATGATACATCTCTCCTATTTGTGTGTTAGATCATCTTGTCTAGCGTGGCTAATATTCCCTCCTGTTGTAAGAGGTCCAAGTGTGTGTTATAATGTGTCACGCACATTGCTCCTCCTGCTGCTGCTGCTGCTGCTGCTGCTGTTGCTGCTGCTGCTGCTGCTACTGTTGCTGCTGCTGCTGCTGCTGCTGCTACTGTTGCTGCTGCTGCTGCTGCTGCTGCTGCTGCTGCTGCTGCTGCTGCTGCTGTTGCTGCTGCTCATGTAACATTTGGCCTTGAAAACTCTTCAATGTTTTTCATTGCCTTCGCAACACTTTAGATTTCTGTAATGTGTATAAATGCGGCTCCTCCGTCCTATCCTTCGTTTTTAATGTATTGAACTTCTATTTTAAATTTGTCGCCATCTTTTCTTTTAGTGTTATTGTCCAATAGGCAAATAATCTTCGATTTTTCTTTAGCTACTGTAGTTAGTTAACCCCAAAGTCATTTATTCACTATTAAACCAATTTGGCAAATGTAAAATAATTGTAAAGTCTCTAATACTGTAATCAAGTTGATTAATGTGCATGATAAATGTGCATTAATTATCTTATCCAGATGATTAATGTGCATGATACTGTATCTTTTTCCAGTGACCTTAAATTTCATCTTGGGTATCACTTTCTTTTTACCCTATGTTATCTCTCTGGGGATGCCAGATTGAGGCCTGTTTTGCTTTTTACTAAAGGAGATGTGAGGTTGTAGCAACAAAGAGATACAAAGGGCCTTTGTGTATCTGTTTCAAGATTGCAGAAAATTATTGTAAAGAAAAAAATATGCCCACACACACTGCAAAATGGCAGGCATCTCGTGATGGGATACAAACTGAAATCAATTGTCATTTTTGGTTCCATAGTAATAAATGTGATGTTTACAAAGTAGGTTGTCTGTGGCACTGATATTAAATCCCACTAAATAATTTTCTACATATATAGTGAAATCCAGGTCATGAGTACCATTACTCTCATAATAAGTTTACTGCAACATGCAGGAAGTGTGAAAAATATAATAATTTTTCATATGCCATAAGAAATTGCTTCTCGTCACTGTATCTATGACTAAATTACTGCAATACTAACTTACTTGGGAGGCCTTGGTAAACCATTCATATGTCTGTAGTTAATTTATTGATTGTTTCATTTTCTCACACCTCCATTTCTACTGAACTATTTAACATCAACAAATGTTAGCGAGTTAATCATTAGCACAACAGGTGTACTTCACTCTGAATCTCTCAATGGCCTCATTAAGTAGGGGTTTTATCCAGCGACGGTGACAACAAGAGATGACTGCTGTGTGTTCGAGAACTCGCGGCTTCATTCACAGTCAGATCTTAGCGGGGAAACATTGTTTACTAATCACAAAATAGTAAATCCTAGGAAAAATATGCACCCTGAGCAGTAAAGTTCGATGCTATAGACTAGACTGACAATATTCTGTATAGCTGTGCAGACAAAAATATAAATTTTGTTTACCAGAGTTGATAAAATATGTTCAGAATATACAGTAATGCACAATGAACTTGCAAGAATAATATACAGTAATGCATGCTGTAGTCGCAACAAGTTCATGTATCTATGAGCCAATATTAAGGCCATTTGTCCCTAGGGCGTTCACAGACACGGGTTCATTCCCATTGTACGACCCCCATCCCCCATGATTGATCTTAGAATATAGTATCATTACTTTATTATTAAAAATGTGTTAGTTGCTCTTTAAAAGTCGGGGGTCAGATTCATGAAGCAGTTACTCGAGCACTTACGAACCTGTACATCTTTTATCACTCTTTGGTGGCTTTGTTTATAATTATTAAACGGTTAATGAGCTCCATAGAACCAGGAGGCTGTTTATAACAATAACAAGTTGATTGGGAAGTTTTTATACAAGGGGTACTTGTAAACTGTTTAATAAATGTAACCAAAGGCATCAAAGATTGAGGAAAAATGTACACATTCATAACTGTTTCATGAATCTGGCCCCAGAAATATTAAAAAAATTAAAAGAGAATGGTAATTTCTTAAAATAGTGACAAAAGAATGTGTGTGAACTTCAAAAGAGAATTACTCCAATAATTATGGAGACAGCGTGTGTTGTAAAGGTTTTGTTACCTATGTTAAAAGAAAGCAAACACTATAAACTTGTGCGCCTGGCTTCACTGCCATCTTTTATTTTTTCCTATGGTGGCATGTTATATTGGTCGATCACGGCATGATGCCATTCATTGTACTGGTCAATCACTGCAGGATGCTGTATGTTATATTGGTTGATTACCACATGGTGCTGTATGTTAAATGGTCAATTATCTCCATGATGTCGTATGTTGTGGTGGTTGATCACCACATATTGTGTACTGTAGTGGATTACCACAGCAGGATGTCATGTGTTGTAGTGGTTGATCACCACATATTGTGTACTGTAGTGGATTACCACAGCAGGATGTCATGTGTTGTAGTGGTTGATCACCACATATTGTGTACTGTAGTGGATTACCACAGCAGGATGTCATGTGTTGTAGTGGTTGATCACCACATATTGTCTACTGTAGTGGATTACCACAGCAGGATGTCATGTGTTGTAGTGGTTGATCACCTCATATTGTGTACTGTAGTGGATTACCACAGCAGGATGTCATGTGTTGTAGTGGTTGATCACCTCATATTGTGTACTGTAGTGGATTACCACAGCAGGATGTCATGTGTTGTAGTGGTTGATCACCTCATATTGTGTACTGTAGTGGATTACCACAGCAGGATGTCATGTGTTGTAGTGGTTGATCACCACATATTGTCTACTGTAGTGGATTACCACAGCAGGATGTCATGTGTTGTAGTGGTTGATCACCACATATTGTGTACTGTAGTGGATTACCACAGCAGGATGTAGTGGTTGATCACCACATATTGTGTACTGTAGTGGATTACCACAGCAGGATGTAGTGGTTGATCACCACAGGATGTAGTGCTGTATTGGTCTATCAGCACGTGCTTAATGTTTATTTTATAGTTTTGTGGACTTCACTGCATGCCATGTATAATTTTAATTTATTGTATATCTTCTGTTACAGCAAATTGCCTTCTTTATTATAACAGTTTAATCAAGTGCTCTGGTTACACGAATTACTTGATCATTTTGTATTTTTTTTAAGGAGCCAATAGATAGTTTTTGGAAGTTGTTCAATGTCAACCAATTTTTTTTTTTACTAGTTGTATATGAAAAGGGTTTCATCTGGTTCAAGTCTCAGCATAAATAGGAAGGGAGAAAAAAATATTGAATAGTGTTTCAAAAGTTTTCCAAAATGGTCAAAAACGATTATCAAACACAAGTGTCAACTAAAATCATGTCTATGACCCTCGGCTATCACAATAGCATATATTAAATATATATATATATATATATATATATATATATATATATATATATATATATAAAGTCTTCCTAATTCTATATATATATATATATATATATATATATATATATATATATATATATATATATATATATATATATATATATATATATATATATGTCGTACCTAGTAGCCAGAACGCACTTCTCGGCCTACTATGCAAGGCCCGATTTGCCTAATAAGCCAAGTTTTCATGAATTAATGTTTTTTCGACTACCTAACCTACCTAACCTAACCTAACTTTTTCGGCTACCTAACCTAACCTAACCTATAAAGATAGGTTAGGTTAGGTTAGGTAGAGTTGGTTAGGTTCGGTCATATATCTACGTTAATTTTAACTCCAATAAAAAAAAATTGACCTCATACACAATGAAATGGGTATCTTTATCTTAGCATAAGAAAAAAATTAGAGAAAATATATTAATTCAGGAAAACTTGGCATATTAGGCAAATTGGGCCTTGCATAGTAGGCTGAGAAGTGCGTTCTGGCTACTAGGTACGACATATATATATATGTCGTACCTAGTAGCCAGAACTCACTGCTCAGCCTACTATGCAAGGCCCGATTTGCTCAATAAGCCAAGTTTTCATGAATTAATTGTTTTTCAAATACCTAACCTACCTAACCCAACCTAACCTAACTTTTTCGGCTACCTAACCTAACCTATAAAGATAAGTTAGGTTAGGTTAGGTAGGGTTGGTTAGGTTCGGTCATATATCTACGTTAATTTTAACTCCAATAAAATAAAATGACCTCATGCATAATGAAATGGGTAGCTTTATCATTTCGTAAGAAAAAAATTTGAGAAAATATATTAATTCAGGAAAACTTGGCTTATTAGGCAAATCGGGCCTTGCATAGTAGGCTGAAAAGTGCGTTCTGGCTACTAGGTACGACATATATATATATATATATATATATATATATATATATATATATATATATATATATATATATATATATATATATAATTAGTTTTATTAACAAAAAATTAAGTTAATTTTTTTTTTTTTCATTTTATTTTTCTTATTTGTTTATCAGACGATTTGCATGAAACTTATACACCTGACTGCACGTAAGCCTATCTGTAAGGGTGCCAATTTTGGAAGAAATTGGTTGATGTCAAACTCAGCCACAGATGGCAGCACCTTAGTCTTTATTTTTTTACTTATTCTTTCAAGTTACATGAATCTTTGTATAACTTTTTCATTGTTTACTCAATTTACATCAAACTTAGACCTTATATGTAAAGTTTGTCTCTAAAATCCAGCGCCAGCATTTTTTCTTAAGTTCATTTATTAATTTTATAATAGCAATAAAACATGATATATTTGCATAATTTTTGGGGGGAAACTTGGACTATTTGTATTAGGAAAACTAAAGATGTTTTGAAAAATCCCCGGCATCAGATCCTTTATTATATGCTGTGTCAGAAGTGTCATAGAAATGATTTAATTTGAAACTTGTGGTTGTTATACGGATTTGAAAATGTGTAAAATTCATTGAAAAAAAAAAAAAATTCCCCTTCTATTTAGGCTGCAGTACTGAAACTTGGAACAATTGCAGCTCTTTTCATATACAACTAGTCAAAAAATATTGGTTGACATTGAACAACTTTTAAAAAACTATCTATTGGCCCCTTAACTAATAAGAAGAGTAATTATTGTAATTATTTATGGAGTAATTACACCAGCATCACACATCTATAATTTATTTTAATTCTCATGCAGCTTATTTCTCTTTGCACAATGAAATCACAAAAAAATCACACTTGCATAATTATGAATGACGAGATCGAACCTCCATTTGCCCAAGAAGTTTGGGGATGCTGGGTCGATCCCATTGTACAGCTTCCATATTTCTCATGTCTCTCTCCTCCGTTGAGCACCTTAGCCTTTTTTTGCGTTGAGAAATATTGACATCTCATGAAGAGAATCACAATTATTTGTCTAGTCCTTTTGGCACAGTCTTAACAGAACACGAGCACCAAGACGAGGCTCTCTTTGACATGAATATCTTCAGATATATAATTGAGCTTTGTGATATCAATAGGCTTAGCTTTCCTCTTTTGTGTGTGTGTGTGTGTGTATGTATTAGCAACAGTTCAAGAATGCTCCATATAGTTTTAAAGTGGTGTACAGTATAAATGTGTATCCTCCCCCCCCCTGTCCTCCCTCAGTTGGAGTAACTTTTTTGGGGGGATTAGGCTTGCTAATTCACTGCCAAACATGATCGAGTTGCTAGATTTGTGCAATACTGTATATGTATATATGTACATTATATATATATATATATATATATATATATATATATATATATATATATATATATATATATATATATATATATATATATATATATATATATACACACACATCCTGATGTATACTCATATAGAGATATATATATACATCCTAAAAATATGAATACACATGTGTAGAGTAAAATTAAATAATTTTCACTTTGTCTAAATTTTGTTACTATTGCGAGTGTAGCGACAAGTTGGCGAGTTTATATCTTAAATCGTAGGTGTAACATTTTCCATACCAAGCGAGGGTCAACTTAGTTATGGTGTTGAGTACTCTATGTTGTTTTATTACAATTTTATGTTGCTCTCTAGTTTGGCACAACTGATACAGGTTGGTACATAACGGCTCTGGTTAAATAAAGTATGAAGAGGAGTGTTGACCAGACCACACACTAGAAGGTGAAGGGACGACGATGTTTCGGTCCGTCCTGGACCATTCTCAAGTCGATTGTGATCGACTTGAGAATGGTCCAGGACGGGACCGAAACGTCGTCGTCCCTTCACCTTCTAGTGTGTGGTCTGGTCAACATTCTTCAGCCATGTTATTGTGACTCATCGCCTGCATGAAGAGGCGGAGCTTCAGGTCCAGTATATGCATCTACAAAGAGGAGTTGATAGGTCTACCCGATGAGGCAGTTGGTAATGGTTATGATGGGTCTATATTGTGAAGTAGTTGGCATCAGTCATGATAGGTGTCTGGATTGTGGTCGTGATGGATCTACTTTGTGGAGGGTTGATGGTCGTCCTGATAGATCTACAATGTGGAATGGTTGGTAATGATGGTGATGGAGCTGCATTGTAGAATGGTTAGCAGTCATCGTGATTCATCTACACTGTGAAGCGATTGGTTCAGATGCTGTGATGCTACACATAGATCAGGGGCTCAGACCCAGAATTCCACCATAATAACATGAATATTTATCATGCGTTTTCAAAATTTGCAAACCACATAACCTAAAATTTAACAGTTTTTCTCCCAGAACTTTAATAGAAAATATTTGGTAAATAAAAGTAAAGGTGTTTATATCCTTTACAAAAAAGTTTTTGTATCATTATTTGGAGAAATTGATGATTGCAAATGCAGATCATCTGAATTCAGTCTCCAGTATATATTTTAGATGCTTTTTGCTGTGATATGTAGAGAAAAGGAACTCTCAGAGATGTTGAGAGAGAGAAAAAAAAAAGCACAAGATATTTCAATTTCCAGGTATTCTTTGGACATTGGAAATTATTTGTTACAATGACTAAACCACAGTCAGAAAATGGAAGAAACATCGTTTCTCCATTTTCTGTTTTGAGGTTTGGTCATTGTATCTTCAGCCACATTATTGTGACTCATTTGTTTGTTTGTAAAGTTATCCATGGATTGCTGTTCAGAAAATGTTACTGCCCCTGACACTTTGTTTGTATGGCAGACCACACGACTCTTAACTAGGTCAAATTAGCGGCTCTGTTGCTAGTCTTGTTTGTCTTATACTGACACAGCTGTTTACTCTTACAAATAATTATGTCAGTCATGAAAGTGGTTTGACACGGTATATCAGTATAGATTAAATTTGTAATATGTAATTAGTAGTCGCTAGCATTCATTTGTTACATGTAGTCATGTATGAAAACAGGTAAAATGTCAGTTCAAAGGTAGTTTTTAACATATACAATATTACAGTATATCTTTCACTAAATCACTATGTACTGTATGTTACTTTCTTAAGCAGAGTTTATATTAATCATTTCAAACAATAGATGACAATTGCATACACAAAGAAGAGTTTGGTTGTGTTCAGCATTGTTTACAAGGATTAACAGCACCCAGAACAGAACAGGATTTTAGTTAGTAGTAGTAAACGAAACCTTGATCTAAAGAGGTCTCAACATATACAGTACAATGTGTAAAATTGTGTTATACAGTCAACCATCCACTATACCTGAGTATACTGTACAGTATTTGTGTTTACTGTACATGTAAACTTTGTGTTGCTGTATATTGTGTACACCAGGTAATACATATATTCAATGGCAAGCTCAAAACATTTATATACTGAAGCATATAGAGGATTTACAGGCCATGTGAAGGCACACACACACACGCCTATACAAGTAACGTGCGCAACGTATAAGCACACGTACATAAACACAATTGGGTTGTATAATAAATGGGACCTGCCAAAAAAAAACGAGTAACCTCAACATTAAATTACTTGTATTGAATGTACTTCCATGATTGGTTGTGTTAAGAGGCAGCCCGAGTGAATGAGCACAACTCCACACACAAGAATAAATGAAATGTGCTGGGTTCCTCCGCTCTCCCCATTTCTTTATTGTAAATAACTGCTACACTTTTACTTGATTTGAAGTGCCTTTGTAAGCTAGTGTGATAATTGGCCAATACTTTAGTTTATCTGGATCACCTAAAGTCTCTGCGTATCAGTTGTCCAAATGTGTGCTCGGAGGTGATTGATGTTCTTAATATTAAATGTTCTGTATATTTTTAATAGGACCTTTGTTTTTTTTATAATTTACCAGATGTTTTTATCATCATTTGGTACCATAAGTGTTTTGGAAATGTTATATCCAGTTGTATTATATGAAATAAACCAGTCAGTTAATGTGTTGTATATTTTAAGTCCTCAAAACTTTGGACTTGGACTGGTTGGTAAAGCAATGGCTTCACTTCTTGCAAGTCAGTGTTCAATCGATAGTCCAAGTGGTTGGGCATCCAGCCCATCCTCCAAACACCCAAAAGTGATTCCATGCACCCGCCAAACCCCGTTTATGAAAAAAACGGTTTACACACGACTTGCAACTAATGACGTTCGAACATTCCCGGAACAAGTGCTTCACTGAAGATTTTTGTTTGAACCACAACGCTATAAATGCTTCACCCCAGGTACTGTACTACAAATACAAATAATCGCCAACAAAACCTAAACACCTAACCTAAGCCTATATATTCACAATATGCTAATATATTATAATTTGTATTTGAGAAAATAACTTTAATGAACAGCATGTAAAATTTCTGAATGCGTCTGGATCAACCGCTGGATATAATGGACTTGCGTCGAGGACAGGTTGTGGGCACCGCACCTTGTCCCTATACACTGTTATAGTTACCTCATTTTGAGTTGCCAACACATTCAATACTTTTACTTACCTGACCAACCCTGTCTCAAGTTTTCTGAATGTCTCTTGATGTTGTTGTCCATTTGATTTTGTATTAGCAACATGAGTGATATTTAGGACATTTTGAATATTCCACAGCACAGGTGATGTTTAGGACTTGCTATCTTGATGCCTTCTTTTGATAACTTTCTTCTGAACAACTTATATTTGCTCTCAAGTAATTATCAAAAGAAGGCACCAAACCAGGAAGGCTATGTAGCACCATCAAAGTGCGAAATAATCAGAGGGCGCTAAATATTACCAAGAATGCCAATACGAGAATAGAAATGCAGAAGGCGAACGATATCAAAAGTGTCCAATTCACCAAGAATTCTATCGAGGGACAAGGTAAGGTAATTATCAAAAGGCACCAAACCGGGAAGGCTATGTGGCACCATCAAAGTGCGAAATAATCAGAGGGCGCTAGATATCACCAAGAATGCCAATACGAGAACAAAAACGCATAAGGGAAACAATATCAAAAGTATCCGATTCACCTAGAATTCTATCGAGGGACAAGTGACCGCGAGGGACGGCCGGAAAGCAAGACACACACACGTCCTGGAAGTAAGGACATTCACAAAGAATATATACACAATTGTAAGATAGATAATGCAATTTGGACAAGGAGGAGCAGGGCGGTGCTCTATTAAGTGATTGTTAGTTAAGCGAGTACGGCCAATCCGCAAACAAGAGCCTTTTCCCACCGCCGGTTACGGTGGCAGGAGGAAGGCCACGGGGACTCACTTCGAGAGTACGTAGCTTGTCACCAACTACAGAAGACCAACAACCCTGCCAACGGGCAAGGATGGAGGAATAACTGGATAATTCTGAATAAGGAATGCCTTTACGGGAGATGGGACAAGAACGGATAGCTTCCCTAGCGGCAGCATCTGCACGCTCATTTAAAGAAACACCAATATGGCTGGGAACCCAGCAAAACTCTAATGATTTGAATTTACTAGAGATAAGAAACAGCCAATGTTGAATCTCGATGACCACCGGATGGACAGGATTAAAGGACCCTAGAGCCATGAGAGCACTACGAGAGTCAACTACAACCACAAAGGAGGATTGACAGTGAGAAAGCAAGAGACAGAGCATAGAAAATAGCATAAAGTTCTGCTGTGAAGACTCTAGCCTTCGAAGGGAGACGACACTTATTATAAGTGCAGTCAGGAAAAACAACAGAGTAGCTCACACCATTGCAGACTCAGACCCATCGGTGAAGATGGAAACAGTGGGAGTGCAAAGAAAAGTGCTCAAGGAAAAGGCGTTTCAGAACTGTAGGAGGGGTAAAAGCTTTAGTGATGCGGGTCAAGGACGTACAAAACTTTGGAAGGGGGACTCTCCACGGAGGTAAGGAACAATACGAGAAACATTAGAAATATGAACGGAAAGAGAATCCTGTAAGCGAGATAGTGGGACAGAAAGGAGGTGGTGATGAAGAGGAACAGGAACCACAGGAGTGGTAGAAGTTAAAGCACGACAGAGGCAAGAGGAAAGATGTTGTACGGACCGCGCAAGATAGCGAAGACAGTAGCGATCATGACAGTCCTGGAGAGAGTGTCAACATACAAACTGAGGGCATATTTGCTCTCAAACGATCACTATATATTGGCATTTGAGAATGAACTGATCAGAGAAAGATATTAATGAATTAAAATTTTTGGTCTGCCCATACGTGTATCAACAAACTCTAGTACTGTGTAAAAATTTTCAAAGAAATTAAACTAGAGAACTGAAAAATTTGAAAATCGAGATTCCCCCAATTGTCAAAATTCGGCACCAAGCCGAGGAGGCTATGTAGCACCATCAAATGTGCAGGATATTCACGCGCCCCTAAATATCACTAAGGATGCCAATACGAGAACAAAAGCACACAAGGCCAACATCAAATGTATTAATTCACTAAGGATGTGATCAAGGGACAGGTTACCGCGAGGGAAGCAAGACACACCAGGACATTCAACAAGGACATGCACGACCATAAAAGGGACAATAAGAAGCAGGGTGGCACTCCTTTAAGAGCCCTCGCCAAAGCAGTTTCCCACTGCCAGTTACAGTGGTAGGAGACAGGCCATGGGGAAAACACTACCCTTAAGATCACGCAGCTTGTTACCAGTAACACAAGATCAGCAATCCTGCCAACAGGCAAGGATTAGGGAATGAACAACTGGGTAGAAGTAGAAATAAGGAACACCTTTGTGGGAAATGGGACAGTGCGGATAGCCTTCTTCATGGCTGCATCCGCACGCTCATTTAAGGAAACGCCAATATGGCTGGGATCCGAACAAAATTTGACTATCTAAAATCTGGAAATCTTAAATGCTGGAGATAAGAAACTGCAAATATTGAATTTTAACAACCACAGGATGGACAGGATTAAAGGACTCCAGAGCCAAGAGGGCACTGCGAGAGTCAACTACAACAAAGGAAGAATGACGGTGTGAAAGCAGTTGATGAAGAGCATACAAAATTGCATAAAGTACTGCCGTGACGATGCTAGTCTTCGGAGGCAGGCGACACACAGTTGAAGTCAGGAAAGACGACAGAGTAGTCTACACCGTCAGCAGATTTGAGGCCCATCTGTGGAGACGAAAATGGAGCGAGTGTGAAGAAAAGTGAGCAAAAAAAATGAGTTTTAGAACTATAGAAGGGGGTAAAAGCTTTAAGTCATTCGGGTCAAGGTTCTACAAAACATAGGAAAAAGGACACTCCATGGGGATGGGGGTAAGGATGGAACGACACAAGGAGAAACATTGGTAACACGGTGCATGCTTAAGTGGGACACTGAAGTTTGGATGAAAAGGACAGGGCATTGTTCCATACAGTGCTTATGAGTTTAAGTGTGCTACCGATACACAACCTAGCCACTTATTTCCCCGTCATCTATTACAGTGGTAGGAGGAAGGCCAAAGGGAAGATCACTTTTCAGTACCACACAGTTTGTTACCTGCAATGCCAGCCCAATGGCATTGGACTAAGACAAACACTAAAGCACTGACTTCGTCAAACATTATGCCACTGTTTTAGTTACTCAAGATCTAGGGAAATGATAGTTAGGAAATAGGACTTCCAATTTGGTGGGTAGCAACATCAGGTCCCTGGGCTCGTAGGAACTGCCTCACATGGGCCAATAGACACCATCATGTTTTCAGAATTCCCTCACACAATCCTAGAGAGGTCCAAGACTGTCATTCCTTAAAAATTACAACCTTTATTCCTTTCTCCAATGATTTTCAGGCATTCCACTTCATATGCCAGCCTTTGCTCTCTGGAACCAGGGTCCCGCTTGGAAGCCTCCACTGCCTATGGCGGGATAATTTATTTAAATTAAATCAAGTGTCAGTCATATAAACATTTCTTTAGACCAGTGATGTCTCCTCGACCCTTAGGCCCCCTCACTATTGCCAACCATGCCATTCAGAATCTTGGAAAATGCAATTTTCAAGTATTTTATATTTTTACTCTCATGCCAATTCCAACAGAAATAAAATATCTTAAAATGCTTTGTAATTTTATTAAAAACTTTACTTAGTAATTACAAATTAAGGTACAAGAGTTCGTAATACGTATATTTCTATGGACAAAGCCATCATACGTGCAACATACAGCACACTTCATGTATACTCTTAAAATAATATTCTTGTTGCCACTGCCATCAATGACTGATGTAGCCTTATACAACAACCATTAATCCAAAATAAAATTATCTTGCTAATTATAAAAAAAAACTCAAATATTTTATATTTCTTTCTCTCTGACTCTCTCTCAACACGCACACACGAAGGTCAGAAGAAAACTACACTTCATGCCTTTGTAAGAAACATTGTTTGATCCAAAAAAATGATGAAACTCCTCTACAGTATGAAATCCCCCAAGATGAGGGGTTGAGTGGGGGAATAACAAGACAGCCACCTGTGCTCGAGGGGGCCACAGTCTGGGGTGTGTTGGTCTAGTAAGGCCGGCCACCTGGAGGACCTGAAATGAAAATATTCGATGATTAACATATCTGATCACACTACACGAGTCATACTAGCATGATTTATTAGATCACACTACACGAGTCATACTGGCATGATTTAGAGTACCAAGTAAGATTTTAATAAATAAAAGTCCTGTTGGTACACGGGGCTCATATCGGCTTTCTCAGCCCTCCAATTAAGACACCATTTTGGAAAAAAAACAAAAAATCATAAGACACTTCCTTTGTACTCGCCTAGTTGTGCTCTCAACTATCAACCAACTGATGTACAGGTTCCTGAGCCTATTGAGCTCTATTGCCGGTTGTTCCGGCAATATTTCTTATACTCGCTGGGAGGATGTTGAACAACCATGAACTTCTGATGTTTATACAGTGTTCTCTGATTGTGCCTAGGGCACCTCTGCTCTTCACTGCTTCTATTCTGCATTTTCTTCCAGGTCGTTCACTCCAGTATGTTATTTTACTGTATAGATTTGGGACCTGACCCTCCAGTATTCTAGGTGTGTATATTATTTGATCGTTCTCTCTCTCTCGTCTCCTTTCTAATGAGTATATTTGGAGAGCTTTGAGATGATCCCAATAATTAAGGTGCTTTATCACGTCTATGTATGCCGTATATGTTCTGTAATTCCCTTTATTTCAGCAATCTATCCCGCTTTGAAGAGGGAAGTGAGTACTGAGCAGTACTCAAGATGGGGCAGTACAAGTGATTTGTACAGTACAACCATTGTGATGGGATCCCTGGATTTGAAAGTTCTCTTTATCCATCCTATCATTTTTCTGGCTGCAATATTTGCTTGGTTAAGCTCCCTAAATGTTAGGTCGTCAGACATCATTATTCCCAAATCCTTTACATGCTGCTTTCCTACTATGGGCAGATTTGATTGTGTTTTGTACCCTGTATTATGTTTTAAAAGTCCTTATTTTTACCAAACCCGAGTACCTGGAATTGATCACTGTTAACCCTCAAACTGCTAGGGGCCCAAATGGAATTCACACCCACAGGCACTAAAAAAAAAAAAAAATCTTTCGTCTTATAGAAGTGTTCATTTTTGTTCCCTGATCACAGAAAAAATAACAAAAAAATCGTAGGTGGCATATTTTAGCCGCAATAGGGTAGGGAAGTGTGGCAAAAAAGAGGCGTTGGCAGAGCCTTCGCCAGATGAGGTCTACTCCGCCCGAGCTGTCAGACGGCAGTTGCCACAAATATATTATTACCTAATTATTTCAATGTCTGATTTTTTCTTAGTTTTTTTGCAGTAATATTATTCCATACAGTGAATTGTGGTATATTTATATTATAAAATGTGTGAACCATCGCTGTACTCAAAATTATGGTGTGCATATTAGTGATTCAATTATTATGTTCATAAAACAATAAACAAATAGTTTTGCTGTTGTTACACTATACACAGGTTATAAGTATCTGCATGTTTTGTACACCATAACGAACTACTAAGTTGGTCTTGTGAGTCAAAAAGCAACGAGGAGTGACCGCCAAACACCAGCGAGCCACTCACTGCCACTCCCTCCCTCAACACCACCTCATTCTCTTCCCACAATACTGTTTTTGCATTTATTCACTATACACAGACGTTATATTTACGTATTTACATGTTTTGTTAACCATAACTGTACATCTAAGCTTGTATGGTGAGTAAAGGCACAAAGATGGAACTACTCACACAGTCAGCTGATCGGCGGCCGCCTTCAAGGCCAGACGCGACGCACTAATATTTCTCCTCCAACAATATTGTTTGTGGTGTTATTACGCTATATACACACATTATATATAAGTATCTACCTGTTTTATTCACCATACCTGTACAAATAATCTGGTATGGTGCCCAAATACCATAGTGGCCATCAGTAAACAACATGCCAAGTCGTGCAGACGACACTCCTCCCTCACCAAAATGGCGGCTCCCAACCTACTCCTCTCGCTGATATCTCACACTATACACACGTTATAAGTATCTACATTTGTGTTCACCATAGCGAACCACTAAGCTGGTATGGTGAGTGCAGTCAATAAATGGTGACCACACACACAGTCAGAAGACGACGCCACAACCCTCCCTCCATGGAGCAAAGCGCTAAATATCACCACAATCCTGGTGTTTTATCAGTCAGGGGGGCTTCAGTAATACTATCACTGCTAAATAACAGCAGTATCATATATATTATGGCATTTGTAGGCGATGCTGTGGTCACAAGCTGAACAGTGGTGCTGTGAGCTCGTGCTGCGTACAGTGCGCCAGCCTTGGTGGCTTGCTCAATACTGACGCTCTCACACCCAAGAATGTAGGCATGGAGTTTTTTTCTAGGTGGCATCTGGCAACTATCGGCCGTGGCTGTACTATTGCTGCCCCTATCCCAGGCAGGGCGTTTAAATTATAGCGCTAGACATGAAATCATAAATATATATGATGTGCACGGTTTCGGTTTTGTCACTGATATCATATATATATGATTTGCGCGGTTTAAGGGTTAAACATCATGTTAATTTCTGTTGCCCAGTCAAAAACTTTATTAATTAATGTCTTCAGCAAAGGTAATTTTCATGCTGATTTTTGTCATCTCCAAAGAATGATACAAAGTTGTGACTTGTATTTTTGTCTGTATCTGATATGTGAATGAGGAAAAGCAGTGGCACAAGGACTGTACCCTGAGGTACAGAGCTTTTAACTGCGCTTGGACTCGATTTTATATGGTTAACTGTTACTCTGTCCTGTTCAATAGAAAACTGAGTATCCAGCATCCTACTTTACTGGTTATTCCCATAACCTCATTTTGTGTGCTATCACTCAATGGTCACATTTATAAAATGCTGTGCGACGTCTGTGTATACCACCACTACATTCTGTCTTTTCAACTTTGTCAACTCAATTCTCATCCTAAGATATTCAATTTGGTATCAATGTGTTCGCAATAGAATTCTCTACAGGACTAAATGCATATAAACTCCAAAAGCCCGGCTTTCCATCCACAACTAACAGAGAAAGTGAGAGAAAGTTATTCGGGAGCGCGCAAGAGTGATAAAATATTTACACTCTTTTCAGTTTTGTCAACGCAATTCTTGTCCTAGGTCTTTCATTTTGGTATCATTGTGTTCGCAATAGAATTCCCAACAGGACTATATGCATATAATGTAAAAAACAGCAGCGATCTCCACCCGCCGACGTGATGAAAACAGGCCGCGGTTACAAGAAAGAGCGCGCTGTGCCACCCCAAGGCGCCTCTCATTATGAAAAGTGTATATTCTTTTCAACTTTGTCATCTCAATTCTAGTCCTAGGTATTTCAATTTGGTATCAATGTGTTTACAATAGAATTCTCTACAGGACTAAATGAATATAAATCCCCAAAAGCGGCGAGAAACCGAGAAAATGAGAGCGTGAGCAATAAAATGAGTACTCTCTACACTTTGGACATCTCAATTCTCGTCCTAGGTCTTTCATTTTGGTATCATTGTGTTCGCAATAAAATTTCCTACAGGTGTATATGCAAATATTAAGTCCAAGAGCCCGGCATACCACCCACAGCAAACAGAGAAAGTGACAAAGCGTTACCCCTGTGAGCGCTAATAAAGAGCAATAAAATGGGTATTCTGTTTTCAACTCTGTTACCTCAATTCTGGTCCTAGGACTTTCATTTTGGTATCAATGTATTCATAATGAAATTCCCTACAAGAGTATATGCATATAATGTCCAAAACCGCAGCAAGACCTTCCCGAAAACGCCGCTACTGTTGCCGCACGGAGGACTCAATGCTGAGTCCTCGCCGGACTTGCCTGTTTTACGGACGACTCAGCACTGAGTCGTCGCCGAGCGAAAGTGTTAAACTTCAGGTGAAACCTAAATCAGTGATTAAAATAAAAATATTTAACAGGTCAAAGTGTTCATACCTCCTCTCATCATGGAGCTGCCTGGGGGAGCCATGGGCCCTCCTCGACCCATGTGTGGGGGCATACCTCCCATCATGTGTGGGGGCATGCTGCCTGGGGGTCCTCCTCTGGGGGGCACGTTCAACTGGGGTCCAGCCCGAGCTGCTGGCTGCATCATCTGTTGTGATGGGCCGCCCACTCCCCGCACTGGGCCTTGCAGGCCGCCGCCTCCAGTTCCTGGCATCCCACGGCCGGCAGGGCGACCCACACCAGGCCCAGGGGAAGCTCCAGGCAGATTAACACGTGGGCCATCCTGTTTGTGATTAAACAATATTAATTTAATAGCCATTTGATACGAATGCACAAACCTAAATTTCCAATGTTTACTACTAATTTTAAATAAAAACAAAGACTTTGGTTCCATTGCACCTTGTAAACATCAAATGCCCAAACCCCAAAGACACGAAAAGAGTCACTATGTTTAGGTCTGCCCTGGACCATCAAGGCATTTCAACAAAGCGGTAAGATTCAATACACAAGGTCAGACATAAACCTCGTAAACACCAACACACACACACACCTGAACTACTGTACTCATAAGGCCCCAAAAATTAATTAGCCTTTCAAATGGAAACTGATGACGGAGAGAAACCACACATATATATACCTCTGTAGGTGGAGGACCCTCCAAGGTCATGGTGACGATGGTTTCACCTCGCAGTAAAAGCAAACCCATAGTCCGCTTCTCCTGCTTTTCTTCTTTGTTCTTTTTTCCTCGAACACACCGGAACTCCTCACAATCGGCGAGGATGACATTCATGTGTTTATCAAATGCTGCAAAAAATTTAAATCTATACTAAGCTGAATAATCAATGGGCAAATGAGAAAAAATTTAACATACAATATACAAGAAAACTTTTGTATATCGAGTCACGTACTTGAGAGAAATATGGCATGTCTGACTTTCACACTCTGATGGCACTAAAATGTGGCATTCGTACTCCGACAGTAAACAATGATGGCACTAAAATGCACCATTAAATTCCCATTCACAAACATTTGAATATTCATCACTGTTACGTATAGTGTATTGTAAATACACATTTGTTTCTGCATCTATTCTCTAGAGAAGTGTTCCCAACCTTTGTAATAGTTTGGGTCATTTTAAATAAAAACATGAATTTCATTGTCACCTGAAAGGAGACAATTTGTCATTGAATTATCATCCTGGTTAACCCTTAAACTGCGCATGGCGTATATATACGCCATGAGTAACATGTCCCATGGTGCGCATGGCGTATATATACGCCATAGGGTGCCAGGCCTGATTCAAATGGCCCGTGGCTACACGGGGTTCACAGTAGCTTCCTCAGGGCTCTTGTAAACAGATGCCATTTAAAAAAAAAATCGTGGGCAATATTCTCAGGTGTGAGAGGCACAGTACTGTTGGAGCAACCAAGGCCGGCGCACGCAGCATGAGCGAACAGCATTGATGTTCAGCTTGTGACCACAGCATCGCCGAAAAATGTCAAAATAAATATATAATTGTTATTATTTAGCGATGACAATATTACAGATGACCAATGACTGTGATATAAATAACCAGGGTTGTGATAATAGCAGGATTGTTGTAATAATTAGCCCTGTGGGAGGAGTGATGCTGAGAGACGGAGGGAGACAGCATTGTTTACTGACTGTGTGGCCACCTGTTATTGTTTGCATTCACCATACCAGGTCAGTGGTTCTCTATGGTGAACACAAATGTAGATACTTATATATAATGTGTGTATTAGTGTAATAACAGCAAAAGGATTATGCTGGGAGAAAGCCATATGGGTGACGGAGGTGACGTCGTCTGCACGATTTGTCTAGCTGTTTAGAGGGTGGCCACTATGCTCTTTGGGCGCACTACAAGCTTAGGTGTACAGTTACGGTGCATAAAACATGTAGATATTTATATATAATATGTGTATATAGGGTAATAACACTGCAAAAGGTATTGTTGGGGGAGAAAGTTTAGTGCGTGTGACCTTGAAAGAGTGAGGGATCCGCCAGCCACCATCTGTGTATAGCGACGACTCTTAGTGCCTGAACTAACTATATAAGCTTAGCTGTACAGTTGTGGTGAACAAAATATACACATACTTATATATAACGTCTGTATATAGTGTAATAACACCACAACTGGTATTGTTGGGGGAGAAAGTTTAGTGAGTGTGTTGAGGGAGTGGCAGCGAGTGGCTGGCTGGTGTGTGGCGGTAACTCCTCGTTGCTTTTCGACTCTCAATACCAACTTCGTGGTTCGTTATGGTGACCAAAATATGCAGATACTTATATATAACCTGTGTATAGAGTGTAATAGCAGCAAAACTATTTGTTTATTGTTTTATAAACATAATAATTGAATCACTAATATGCACATCATACTTTTGAGTATAGCGATTATTAACCACTTTTATTATATAAATATATTACAATACACACTATTGAATAATATTACTGCAAAAAAACTAAGAAAAAATCAATCGGAGACATTGAAACAATTAGGTAATAATATCTTTGTGGCAACTCCCATCTGTCAACGCGGGTGACGCTGACCGGGTCTGACAACCGCTCTGTCAACGCCCACTTTTTGCCAGACTTCCTCGGTCAATTGCGCCCAAAATATGTCGCCTACGATTTTTTTTTTATTTTTTCCGTGCTCAGGGGACACAAATTAACATGTTTAGAAGACGAAAAAATTTTTTTGAATTTTTTTTTTTCTTGCGCACAGGGGTGTAAATATCCCAAGGACCCCTGAGCAGTGTAAGGGTTAAAAAAGAAAAATTAAACAAAAATTAAATAAAATTTACTCAAAAATACATTTGCACATGATTAGAATTAGCCTATTTATCACCATATCTTGTGGAACACCTAGCTACCTTGGGGATCTGCAGAACTCCAGTTGAGAAAGGCTGATCTAGAAAATTAATTTGAGTCCTTTTTGACACCAAATTTATGGTTATAATCAAATCAAACAAATATCTAAGAAAATGTAAAATTATTGTTAACATTCTAAGCATATGTGAGGGGTACCTGCCGAGCCCACTATGTTTACAGTTGGGAACGTGTGAACAGGACCAACAAATAACTCTGAAAACATTAAATGATTAAAACATTTTTCATAACACTGAACAGCCCGGGAAGCCTGGAACAGTCTTTCCGGACCTTTTACAGTCAGGAACATTTTACAGAATATTTACAGTCTGGAACTCAAAAGAGCCTGGACTGTCAAAATGTTAATATTTATTAAAGCATTAATTACGTAGCTGATCAGCGGGTATTGAAGTGAAAACAGCATGGGCACTACGAGAGCAACATCTACCATTACAACAAAATGACAGATGTAATGGGTCAGAATAATGACCCTTTGCATCGAAATGACAGGATAAAACATTAAAGACACACCTTCCGCAATTTAGGAAACGTGCCAGTTCACCTCCCTAGGGGTTAAACAAGCAACATCGCAGAGAAAAAGTGCACAACAGTGAATGAATGTCTGACAATCGCACTGAAAGCAATCAAAGCGAGAAACAACCCATAAATAGTGTTTTTTGAAAGCAAGTGTAGAAGCACATGGTGAGAGTGAAGAGTGTGGTGGGTAGAGGCAGGCAGCCTCTACCCTCCCAAGTTACCTCAGGTGAGGTGCGGCCAGCAGATACAGGCAGGTCACTACCAGCCCAGCCACCAAGGTTTTACCAAGGGAGGATATCATCATTAAAGTTTAAGACTACAACATTAAGCTCCCTACAAATGCCATCACAGCACCGATACCAACAATAATAACTATCCCGGTGTTGAAATAAACAACAAAGGTACAGTCCTTGCACCGCTACTGTTCCTTATTCTCATATCTGATATAGACAAAAATACACGTCACAGCTTTGTGTCGTCCTTTGCAGATGACACAAAAATCAGCATGAAAATTACCTCTGCTGAAGACATTGAAAAACTACAAGCAGATGTCAACAAAGTTTTTGATTGGGCAGCAGAAAATAACATGATGTTTAACAGTGATAAACTTCAGGTACTCATGTACAGCAAAAATGAGGATCTGAAACATAATACAGGGTACAAAACACAATCGAATCTTCCCGTAGTAGAAAAACAGCATGTCAAGGATTTGGGAATAATGATGTCCGACGATCTAACGTTTAGGGAGCATAACCAAGCAAATATCGCGTCGGCCAGAAAAATGATCGGATGGATTACGAGAACTTTCAAATCCAGGGATCCCATCACAATGGTTGTACTATACAAATCACTTGTGTTGTTCCGTCTCGAGTACTGCTCAGTACTCACTTTCCTCTTCAAAGCGGGATAGATTGCTGAAATGAAGGAATTACAGAGAACATATACGGCACGCATAGACGAGATAAAACACCTAAATTATTGGGATCATCTCAAAGCTCTCCAAATGTATTCTCTAGAAAGGAGACGAGACATACCAAATAATATACACATGGAAAATACTGGAGGGTCAGGTCCCAAATCTACACACTAAAATAACAACGTACTGGAGTGAACGATATGGAAGAAAATGCAAGATTGAACCAGTGAAGAGCAGAGGTGCCATAGGCACAATCAGAGAGCACTGTAAACATCAGAGGTCCGCGGTTGTTCAACGTCCTCCCAGCGACTATAGGAAATATTGCCGGAACAACCGTGGACATCTTCAAGAGAAAACTGGATGGTTTTCTAAGAGAAATTCCGGATCAGCTAGGCTGTGGTGGGTATGTGGCCCTGCGGGCCGCTCCAAGCAACAGCCTGGTGGACCAGACTCTCACAAGTCGAGCCTGGCCTTGGGGAGTAGAAGAACTCCCAGAACCCCATCAACCAGGTATCAACCAGGTATATCTGGGTTGTTAGAACAAACAAATGGAACATGCAAATATAACCATCCTAGAAACTGCAGAAATATCCTAAAGTGTTGCTCTGATAACTGCAAATACTTCCACCCCAAAACTGTAAAATTGGCTAACCAAAAAGGAGTGTTTTAACAATGCCCAGATTTTTATATCAAAGGAACAAAGCGAATAAAATCAGAAGAACGCCATTGTGAATACAGCAACACCCATACATACCCAAGGGATTTTTAAGTAAGAGAAAGAGAAAAAGAATACACAAGACCAGTAGACATGGCAGGCTGTGCAAAACATCCCTGTTGAATAGCAGAGATGTGATAGGTAAGCTGAGGAAGAACTATCAATATCAAGGGCCCAAGACTTCAACAATCCCGCTACACATAATGAGCATAACTGGCCGGCCTCTCATAGCGTTTGAGAGAGAACTCGACATCTTGAGGTTATCTTGAGATGATTTCGGGGCTTTAGTGTCCCCGCAGCCCGGTCCTCGACCAGGCCTCCACCCCCAGGAAGCAGCCTGTGACAGCTGACTAACACCCAGGTACCTATTTTACTGCTAGGTAACAGGGACATAGGGTGAAAGAAACTCTGCCCATTGTTTCTTGCCGGCGCCTGGGATCGAACCCAGGACCACAGGATCACAAGTCCAGCGTGCTGTCCGCTCGGCCGACCGGCTCCCTCATACACCTCCTACATACCTCCAAAGGTACATAGGTACAAAGACATACACCTCCAAAGAATACCTTATCAACCAGGCTGTGCGCAGCTGTGTCCAACAGCCTGGTTGACGAGACAACCAACAGGGAGGCCTGACCAGAGCCTGGGCCTGTTGATCCCCAGAAGCTACATAAGTTATACAACACATTGAAAAAGATTAAAAGTGAAGCAGACAGCTAGGTGCCACACTATGTTGGAGCAGCGTGAAACATTATTAGTCAAGGCAATGTTATTGACGTGAGCCATGGTTATTTTATGTACCATATATTCTCTTAAAGAAAAAAAAGAAACAAACCTTTCTAATACTTTTAAAGAGCTGGGAATAATCAACCACACTCACCTTTAAATATCCCTATGAACGTTCGACTGTCCTGCATGGTTACCTTCATCCGATAACCTATGTGGCCCAGCATTTTATTATTCTTCGAAAATGTCTGAAAAATAAGTTTTAGATTCATTAGACCATAAAAAAAGCCTCTGGCTGATAGCACAAAAAAATTGTCAGTACATGCAAATATTTGCATTCCATTGTTCCCAGATAACATTATACCCCACAGGTTGCACCACTCATGTTCAAAACCAAATAGCTATTCATGTGAACATTTCATGCATAATAGTTATACCATGTGTACCTATTCATATACCTATAATGTAGAACATAAACAAAAAATAAGCTTATTTTATAACACAAGTGAAACTTACTGACTTGTAAGTTTACGTTTCAGTAACTTACAAATAGTTACTGCAACTATTTGTGACTTACTTTGTTCATACAAATTAGTAAGTATAATGAAAGATTTAATTTTTTTTTGCTCATATTATAATGGTTTGACCATTTTTCCATAGCCACTGTCCAAGGGCTAAGATCTTTATTTGTTATTCTAAGCATCTTTTGGTAATGGGATGGGGTTGAAACAATTGTACACGAGACGGATTGACTAATCTCATTTTTTGTCAAAATCGTGTACATTGCTAGGTTAGGATGTATTGGCTTAGGTCTGGCTATGTTAGGCTCGGTGGGCATAGGTGAGGTAGGTTTTAAAATCAGTTGGCAAACAGTCTGTCACTTGTATCCCAGTATGTTACACTGAATTAGTGCTTAACTAGCTGTATAGAATATACCAATCATGGAATAAGCACACAACTAGTTTACCAAAAACGTCAATAAACTGATGTGATTTGTAACCATGATGACACTAATTATATAACTTTTTTATAAGCTAATCAATGAGTAGTTACACTTTAAGCATTTAAATATAAACGTTACTGATTGCAGCTTCCATAGGGCAGCCAGGATTGTCTGAGTTCGTATGTTTACCATTATGCAAAATCAGTCTAAATTAGACACTTCAAAATGCAGTGTTCAGGCTAGAACAATCATCATATTGTGAAAATTCATGCATTGATTTTAATTAACTCAAGCAAATAATTACACAAGTACATTCTACTTGATACAACTGATAACCAATACCAGTTTCAAGTCAAATTACAATTTTTCCAGGATAGGTCACATCACACAACAATGTTACAGATTTTAAAACGTGCCCAACTTCACCCAATTTAAGCTAACCCACCAGAGCCTAACAAACAATATATATACACAGCATTATCAATAAGATAGAGATTAGTAGGACCATCTAACGTGTGATTTGACGAAACCCCATTTTCAACCTCGAGAATAAAGGTAATTTTGTCCATAAAATAATATACTGTACTGCATATATATCTTATCTTATATGTTCTATAGAGAAATACTGCACCACGGACAGCACACTATCAAGGGGTCACTTACATATCAGTACTGTACTGTAGATATGTAAACTGCCTCATGCAGTGACCTCTAACCTACAACTCTAAACCTAAAACGAACACAAACAACAACTAAACGTAGCAAAATCAAACAAAACTTACTTGAAGCCTGGCATCCATCAGGACGAGCCTGACGCAGGAGTGTGGCTCATGGTAGCCACTCCAGGAGCACCCGGGAGCCTCGGACACCCTAACACTCCACCTCCAGGTCCACAACAGCCTCAGTAACCCTAACACTCCACCTCCAGGACCACAACAGCCCCAGTAACCCTAACACTCCACCTCCAGGACCACAACAGCCCCAGTAACCCTAACACTCCACCTCCAGGACCACAACAGCCCCAGTAACCCTAACACTCCACCTCCAGGACCACAACAGCCCCAGTAACCCTAACACACCACCTCCAGGACCACAACAGCCCCAGTAACCCTAACACTCCACCTCCAGGACCACAACAGCCCCAGTAACCCTAACACTCCACCTCCAGGACCACAACAGCCCCAGTAACCCTAACACACCACCTCCAGGACCACAACAGCCCCAGTAACCCTAACACTCCACCTCCAGGACCACAACAGCCCCAGTAACCCTAACACTCCACCTCCAGGTCCACAACAGCACCAGTAACCCTAACACTCCACCTCCAGGTCCACAACAGCCCCAGTAACCCTAACACTCCACCTCCAGGACCACAACAGCCCCAGTAACCCTAACACTCCACCTCCAGGTCCACAACAGCCCCAGTAACCCTAACACTCCACCTCCAGGTCCACAACAGCCCCAGTAACCCTAACACTCCACCTCCAGGACCACAACAGCCTCAGTAACCCTAACACTCCACCTCCAGGTCCACAACAGCCCCAGTAACCCTAACACTCCACCTCCAGGACCACAACAGCCCCAGTAACCCTAACACTCCACCTCCAGGACCACAACAGCACCAGTAACCCTAACACTCCACCTCCAGGTCCACAACAGCCTCAGTAACCCTAACACTCCACCTCCAGGTCCACAACAGCCTCAGTAACCCTAACACACCACCTCCAGGACCACAACAGCCCCAGTAACCCTAACACTCCACCTCCAGGACCACAACAGCCCCAGTAACCCTAACACTCCACCTCCAGGACCACAACAGCCCCAGTAACCCTAACACTCCACCTCCAGGACCACAACAGCCCCAGTAACCCTAACACTCCACCTCCAGGACCACAACAGCCTCAGTAACCCTAACACTCCACCTCCAGGACCACAACAGCCCCAGTAACCCTAACATTACGGAATTACACGACCCGCCATACTGAATCCCGCGCGGTCCTTCCATAGCGGTTCAGGACTTAAGTCCACCGTTATTTAAAGATTCCCACAAAGAACATGCTAAAGAACCGCTGGAGAACCGCCAGAACCATCACCGTCGAGAGAAAAAACACCAAATAAGCCCGCGGCCCAAAAGCCCGCCATCGCCGCCCTCCTCCCATGTAAACAAACCAGCCCGGCAACCACCGCCGGTATTTATCGTCAAATATCTCCGGCAGCGGCCATCGCCGCGGGTCACAGAGGCGGTGGCGGCGTGGCGGGGGTCATGGCGGGGCCGGGGAGCCCTTACTCACCATAGTAGCCAGCTTGCCGGTTAAGATGGACGATATAAGGAGAAAATATGTCAGCGGAGTGACTTGGCGACGACGGCGAGAGGGAACGTTTGTCCAAGCCGCCGCGTCTGCTGGATACCTCACTCACACTGCTCTACCTACTTTCTCTTTATTCTCTTTGTTTGATATATTTTTGCCTCTACTTATCATAAATACACAATAAATCTATTAATTAATATTGTTTAAAGCATTTACTTTTATTACATTTTTACATATTTTTACTCAAATGCGGCATTTGAAAGCAGCAGCATGCGCTGTATAATTCATTTCTCAAGCATTATCTACTGTTCCTATATTCTCTTTACTATATACCGCTTTACCTCAAACTATCATAAGTACACAATTAATTGAACAATAATTCTCATTTTAAAACATTCATTTTATTATATTTATAATAATGTTCACGAAATGTAGCTTTTGAATGCCGTCAGAATTGCTTGGTCCAAAACCTGTCCCTAGTATTAAAGCTATGACGTCATAGTGATGTCACACCCCCCCCCCCGATTGATTGATAAAGATTAAGCCACCCAAGAGGTGGCACGGGCATGAATAGCTCATAAGTAAGCAAGTGACTGATTGATAAAGATTAAGCCACCCAAGAGGTGGCACGGGCATGAATAGCCCGTAAGTGGTGGCCCTTTTGAGCCATTACCAGTATCAAGAGCTGATACTGGAGATCTGTGGAGGTAGTAAACAAGTGTGGCCGTCCCCTGCTATATATGGTGGGTGCGAACGAGGGGGTGTGAGATTTAAGGGCTATTCATGCCCGTGTTTACTGTAAGAACTCAATTAAATTTCTTTCTTTATTATGCACCCCATACCCATCCCGGGGGAAGGTGGTGGAAAGGGGTTACAGAGGCACATAATGGGTTCAGAAACTGAATCACAGAGTTCATTTAACTAAGCAAGTGACAATCTTTTGAAGCTAATTACACAATTGTTAATGTTATCTTACCTTGAGGTTACCTTGAGGTGCTTCCGGGGCTTAGCGTCCCCGCGGCCCGGTCGTCGACCAGGCCTCCTGGTTGCCGGACTTTTTTTTTTCTTTTTTTTTTTTTTTTTTTTTTTTTTTTTAGCAGGGATAATCCTGCGCGGGCCCTAAGCCTCTGGCTGGCCCACTAAGTGTTGCTTGTTTCTGTTTTACCTGGGCGGAGGATGAGTATGTATGACCCGTATGGTCGCTTCAGTAAGATTTTGCCATATGTGTTTAACAACTTCCTCTGCTCTGGTGAATCGAAGGTGAAATCTTAATGGGTTTGTAACTGTGCACTGTGTTAGATAATGTTCCAGTGGTCTGTCGGGCATTTCTCCACAGTGTTGACATTTCCTCTCACCTTCCGGAACCCGTAAGCCTATTTCCCATGCACATGGGTATCCAAGCCTGATGCGATGTAAGTGTACTTCTGTTGTTCTACTGCCCCCGTTCATCAAACTAAGTGGTTCGTAGTTGGTTGAATTCTTGTACCAACCCGCAGATCCTGATGTTGCAACTGCTGTGGTGTGGTCACTGTACATCTTTCGCATTGCTCTGTTTCGAATCACTTTCTTCATCTGGGAGAGACTCTGTGGTATGTAAATGTCTACATTCCTCCTCTTAGTAGCAAGTTTTGCAGCTTCGTCTGCAATGTCATTACCTAATAGTCCCACATGACTTGGCACCCAGTTGATAAGCACCCGTCGGCCTTGTCGTTTGAGTGTGTGCATGAATGATAAGACATTGGTGATCAGATGGATGTTATCACATACGTGTTCTTGTTGCAAGGTTTCAATGGCGGTTCTCGAATCTGTATGGACGATAACATGTTGTCGGTGTTCAGCAAGAGCATGTTCCAAAGCCTTTTGAATGGCTAGCATCTCAGTCTGTAAAGTCGAGCACCCATTTGAGAGCCTCCAACTATATACAGAGTTTCCTGCTTTAACTGCAGCTCCGGTTTCTTTTCCCTGCTGGTCTACTGACCCATCCGTGAAGTAAGTGAAGCTGTCGGATGCCATGTTTGCTTCTATATGCATCTGTGCAATGTGACGTAGCAGATGAGGACTTGTCTGGTTCTTCTTTCCGTCAAGAGCCATAATCTGAAAGTCTGCTGGCAGAGATTCCCAAGGGGCTTGTATAACAAAGTCTGCATGTATGTCGTCGACACCCCTCTCAGTGACTGTGTTTGCCATATCGAATGTATCGATGGCGTTTATCGCACAATGGGTCCACCTGTTGCCAGCGGAGGCTCTTCCGTCCAGAGTTAGTGCTCCAGTGATCATATCTTTAAGTGAACTGATTCTAGGTCTAGTCAATATCTTGGTCAGCATGCACGCAGCAATCCCCTTTACCCTTATTTCAATCGACGTTAGCTTTGTCTCTAGTCTTAGGTTCAGGATTTTAGTCCATCTGGGAGCACCTGTTATGACCCGCAATGCATCATTTTGAAGAACCTCAACGTTTGCCCACTGACCAGGAGAAAGAGTGAGTAAGGCAAGCGCTGCATAATCAACCAGGGAACGAACGGCGTGTATGTAAAACATTCTCAACACTCTGTGTCCCGCTCCTAGACGGGGCCCTGTGATTGCTCTCATTATATTTATTCGTGACTTTGCTCTCTCCTTTAGATATTGAATTTGCTTATTGAATGTCATCTTAAAATCAATCCACACTCCGAGATATCGATATTGTGGAACCCACTGAAGGTTAATGTCCTGAATGCGTAGGTGCCTGTCTGGAGCCTTGCCACCTAGTCTCATCGCCTTAGACTTCTGTGCAGATATTTTTAGCCCTAAAACACTGCATTCAGATGTCACTTGATCTAAAGCACCTTGAGCTTTATTTAGAAGTGAAGGACCCGTAATGACTAATGCTAGATCATCAGCATAGCTTAGCAATGTAACCCCTTCTGTAAAGGACATGGTAACAAGGTTTTCCATAAGGATGTTAAAAAGACTAGGACTGAGGACTCCTCCTTGTGGAGTCCCATTCTCGTGCAAGTGGTAGTCCGACACTTGTCCTTGCAACTTTACTCTGGCAAACCTGTGACTTAGGTAATCTTGAATCCATGCTAGCATTTTCCCCCTCACACCTTTTTTAACTAAGGTGTGTAGTATTGCTGGCGGGCTTGCAAGTTCAAACGCTTTCTCCAGATCAAGGAAGATCACTATAGCTGGACCTGAGTTAACTGTTCCTAGTAATGTCGCTATGCAGTTTGCAGTACCTACTCCTCTAGTGAAGCCAAATATGTGTTTATGAAGGTCTCCAGTCTTCCACAGTAGCCTATTTAAGACCATCCGTTCTGCAGTTTTACTAATGCATAATGTTAATGAAATGGGTCTGTAATTGCCAGGTTCATTCGGCTTAGGAATCGGTATGATGTCTGCTTTCTTCCAAGAGGGCGGTAGTTTGCCTTGCTGCCAAGACGCATTGATGACGTCCAATATCCAGCGGTCTCCAGCAGGACCTGCTTGTGCGATCATTGAGTATGTAATGTTATCAGCACCTGGTGCAGTGTCCTTACCACCTTTTTTGGCTCTGCTTAGTTCCTGTTCGGTGAAGGGACAGTCACATTCGTCATTTATAGCTATGCCCTCATGAATAACTGTCATCCTCTCTTGTTTTAAGTGTTCTTGCTGCCTTTGGACCATTGCAGGAAGCTGATATGAAGTTGTTCTTTCTGCAAATTGGAGAGCAAGTCTCTCAGCCTCCTGCAATGGTTGAATACATGCCTGTGGCCGGGCTGGTCGACCTAATATAGTTTTAATCTGACCCCATATCTTGCCAAGACTACTATGTTCATTTAGAGTTTGACACCACTCAAACCATCGTGCCTCCTTTACTTCTCTAGAAACTCGCCTTGCTTCAGATATCACCGCTCGTAGCAGAGTTCTTCCTTCTGGTGGGGGGTTTCTCTTTAGATGTTTTCTGAAGATGTTGACTCTGTGGTTCTGTTCTTTAACGTCATTACTATAGAACCAATAGTTCTTTCGTTTCGTGTTACCTGTGATAATGATTGGAATAGCTGTGTTCGCAGCAGCTGCAATGGCTTCCTGCAGATTGGTCTCGTGTATGTTCAAATCCTCAGGTGGCGTGTACGTTGCATACCATTTTTCAAGTTCTTCCTGGTATACATTCCAATTGGCCTTTCCTAAATTCCACCGAGGCTGCGCAGGAGGTGTAGGAGGTCGTGCCAGGTTGAGTGTCGTGACAGTAGCATAGTGGTCACTGGTGATCACCGGGTCTACTTCCCACTTCGCCTGTTGCTGGAGTGCTGTTGAGATGATTGTAAGATCAAGGGAACCTCCTAGAATGTGAGTGGGTTCCCCAGTGTTGAGAAGTGTAATTTCAGGTACTTCTCGCAGAGCTGCAGCTAAATGGCGCCCATCTGCACTGGCTGGCCCAGTCGCACCTAACTCTGGATGATGAGCATTAAAATCTCCAGCAATAATTAAATTTTCCTGCGTGGCCAAGGCAAGCACTGCCTCTGCTTCTAGTTTACGTCTAGGGGGCTTGTAGACGTTGTATATGAGGAGCTCAAAATTAGCCATATTCACTGTAACTGCTAATACCTCTACTCCATCCCCACATGAAACCGAGTCTATTTTCTTGCTGGGTATGGTGTTTCTGACTAGGGTCATTAATCCTCTTTGTCTCCCCTGCTCATACGGTAGAACATAGTGCTGATATCCAGCTAATCTGAAGGATTTCGTGGCTGGGAAAAGAGTTTCTTCCAAAACGATTATATCTGCTTTCGTGCTGATTGCAGCCTCCTGAAGTGTGTGTTTTTTATTTCCAAGACCTTGTATGTTCCACTGCAGAATTCGTAATGGCCAGACGACGGGTTCGGTTGGTGTTGCTTGTTCTACTAGAACTCCTCCTCGGAATCGACCTCTATATTCTCCGCCTCGCAAGTCGTGTCGCTGCAAATCGGACTGCATTGATAGTTCGTGGTCATCCCCGACGATGCCGGAATCTGTGCATAACTGTGGTCCATCGCTATGTTGTTGGAAGTGCTGCAGGTCGGACTGCATTGATTGCCCGTGGTCAACCCCGGCATTGTTGGAATCTGTGCAGAACTGTGGTCCATCACTTTGTTGTTGGTATT